TATGGATGATAATAATAAATAATCGAATTATTTTTTGGGTGTAATTCTTGAATTGTATATGTTTCGTAAATGTTATTATTGGTTGTTATTGTATTATTATTATTATTATTGTTGTTGTTGGTGTAGTAATCGTAACTATTTGTAGATGGCGTATCTCGACTATTTTCGTTTTCATCGTGTTGGTTTAAATTTAAATCGTCGAGGAGATATGGTTTAAATAATTTAATCGGTTTTGTTTGTCGCAAATCATCTTCGTCGTGATTCGATGATTTTCTTTTTGTTGATAAATCCCAGACGTTTGGTTCCGGTACGTTTGCGATGTTAATATGGACGCGAGATGGCGATAGGTGTGGCGGCGGTGAGGAATGCGGCGGGGAAAGGGGGAAGCACACAGGTGTACACGGCGTCGGTCGTTTGAGCGATAGGTCGATGGGTGAGGCGGGGAAAGAGGATGGGTTTGGATTGGCGACACTCGGGCTACCATGGACGCGATCGTTGCGCGTCGTAAAATCCAACGGGAACACCGTTGTAGTAGTAGTCTCAGTTTCGCATTTCAAGGCCACGTCGCATTTTTTAATCTCTTCCTTACCCTTATTAATATTAACATTAACATTAACATTATTCGTCGAAACACTATTTCTTAAATTCCCCTCGACTTGTAACCATTTTTGTATCTGCCTCCGATGTATCCCATACTTCCTCGCAGTCGCTCTTTGATTCCCTTTACAATCAACATCATTTCGATACGAATCCAACACTTGAAGTTTAAAATGAGGCGGGAATATACGTCTTGAGCCGACGCCCGTTTTATTACTCTCCAATTTCTTTAACATTGCGTTTACACCATGCGCCATAACCCCAAAAAAAAACAATTTTTTTGTTTTATTTTGTTTTAATCAATTTTTTTTTTTAAAACACTCGATGAAGAGACAAACGAAAATCACTCCCGACGACGTCGACTACGTAGATCTACCATTTTTCGATTCACGGAACGAAAAAGTAAAACCCCTCCACGATCGGCTGACTAAACTTTATAAAACGCGATTTTAAACAACACTCTTTATCTCCTTTCAACGTAACCTCAAATAAACATCCTTCTTGAAACGTAGGTCGTTTACGAATGGCCGAACTCGAGCGGCGTTTATGAAACAAGTTTAAACGCGACGTTGTCGATTTTCGTTTCGAACAAAAACCGACACTTTTACATAAAAATCGCACTATTTAACTCGCAACACTCTTCGAGTTTCACTTGAAATCGCGCGAAAAGTCGAAAAAAATCCGCGATTTTATCTCGATTTGGGCGATTTTGATTGTTTTTTGATGAACGCTTGGCAACGTGGCGACCGGTCACGCCAGACACAGTGTCGCCAGGCTTGGTCTACCCAGACATAGCGACGCGGGTCCGTCGCAGGCAGGCCCCCGGCCCATTGAGGTCGGTGTATGGAGAGGGGGGGTGGAGAGAGAGGGGGCACGAGGGTCGACGGGACTGGTAAGAGGGGCCCCACGTGGGTGTGCGGGTTAAAGGGGGCGATATAGTCGAGTCTTTTTGCGCCACCGCTACCTGTGAACCGGGGGTCTCTGTTTTTTCAGCTCTCCCAGAACGTGTGGCGCTTCAAAATGTTACAATTACGTAACGGAATCTCAACATAAAGAATTATCTTTTTTTTTCCTATAACAAAATCTATAATTACCAGCTTTAACTCCAAAATAGATCAAAAACACTTAATTGACGTTTGAAATGTCATTATTTTAACACTAAATTAATTAGGATACGTTACTTAAGGTTCAACGTCAAAATGACATTTACATTGACATAATAAAATATAGATCATTGGGAAAATTTAATTAATTCTATTAATATTGCTTAATTTATTTAATTAAATAATTTTAATAAAAGTAAATTTGATGGGATTTTGTTGTACCTATTTACTCAAAAATTTTAAAATAGATCAAAAACACTTAAACGTTCGAAATGTTGTTATTTTGATACTTAAAAAAGTCAAAATTAAATTATTTTTTATCAAAAATTTTTAAATGAACCTTAAAATATCTTCGTTAAAACCATGTTCGATGTTTATCTAAACGTTAAATAATCAAAAAATTATCTTAAAAATAAATTAAATTTAATTAGGATACGTTACTTAACGTTAAACGTCAAAATGACATTTACATTGATATATTAATATATGGATTATTAGAAAAATTTATTTAATTCTTTTAATATTATTTATTTATTTAAACAATTTTAATAAAAGTAAATTTGATGGGATTTTGTATTTAAAATCTAAACACTGCTTACGACATTTAAGATTAAAATAGATCAAAAACAGTTAATTGACGTTTGAAATTTTATTATTTTGACACTAAATTAAAATATTTTTTATCAAAAATTTTTAAATAAACCCTAAAAAATCTTCGTTAAAACCATGTTCGATTATCTAAACGTTAAATGATCAAAAAATTATCTTAAAAATAAATAAAATTCAATCAGGATACGTTACTTAACGTTAAACGTCAAAATCACATTTACATTGACATAATAAAATATAGATTTTTAGAAAAATGTATTTAATTCTTTTAATGTTGTTTAATTTATTTAATTAAACAATTTTAATAAAAGTAAATTTGATGGGATTTTGTTGTACCAAAGGACGAAATCATCGATATTTAAGATTAAAACACTACTTACGACCTTTAAGATTAAAATAGATCAAAAACAGTTAATTGACGTTTGAAATTTCATTATTTTGACACTAAATTAATTTATAATTTATCAAAAATTTTTAAATAAACCTTAAAATATCTTCGTTTAAAACATATTCGATTATCTAAACGTTAAATAATAAAAAAATTATCTTAAAAATGAATAAAATTCAATCAGGATACGTTACTTAACGTCCAAATGACATTTACATTGACATAATAAAATATGGATTATTAGAAAAATGTATTTAATTCTTTTAATACTGTTTAATTTATTTAATTAAACAATTTTAATAAAAGTAAATTTGATGGGATTTCGTTGTACCTATTTACTCAAAAATATTAAAATAAATCAAAAACACTTAATTGGCGTTTGAAATGTCATTATTTAAATTACGTATTAAAATATCACTATGTTTAACTGTTCCCACCAAATTCTTGATTTTGAGCTCACAATTTGGTTTTTTCCAAACTATTTGCCTTCTATCTGAACCTCAAAGGTTAATTTTAGTCTCATCAGTGAACATTACACTTTCCCAAAAGTGTTACAACCATATTTGATTATCTAAACGTTAAATAATCAAAAAATTATCTTTAAAATAAATAAAATTCAATCAGGATACGTTACTTAACGTTAAACGTCAAAATGACATTTACATTGACATAATAAACTATGGATTATTAGAAAAATGTATTTAATATTGAATTTATTTAATTAAACAATTTTAATAAAAGTAAATTTGATGGGATTTTGTCGTACCAAAGGACGAAATCATCGATATTTAAAATTTAAACACAACTTACGACTTTTAAGATTAAAATAGATCAAAAACACTTAATTGACGTTTGAAATTTCATTATTTTGACACTAAATTAAATTATTTTTTATCAAAAATTTTTAAATAAACCTTAAAATATTTTCGTTAAAACCGTATTCGATTATCTAAACGTAAAATAATCAAAAAATTATCTTAAAAATGAATAAAATTCAATCAGGATACGTTACTTAATGTTAAACGTCAAAATGACATTTACATTGACATTATTTTAACAATTAATTAATTCATAACATTTTATCAAATTTTTTTAAATAAACCTTCGTTTAAACCAAATTCGATTATCTAGACATTAAATAATAAAAAAATTATTTTAAAAATAAATAAAATTCAATTAGGATACGTTACTTAACGTTAAACGTCAAAATGACAGTTACATTGACATAAAAAACTATAGTTTATTAGAAAAATTTGATTTGTACTATTTAAAAGTTATAATTAAAAGCTTACCTTTGAAAGAAGCAAGAAATGTGTACTTTGAAACAACTAGAAAGGAAGGTGATACGAATACTATTGAGAATGTTCCAATGATACAATTGCAGAACGCGATTCAAGGAATTAAACATTATGACTTTACCATCGTGTCTTATACCTGCTTGTGTTAAACACGTTCATAAATATCAAGAAGAATTTTCCACAAATTCGGATAAGCATGATTGAGATTTGCTTTCAGGTTGGTATCAGTTATCCAGTTCTGCTCCTCTTATTACCTTCACATCTTGTGCTGCCTATCTCATGGATCTAGAGTAAGTTATATAAGTCTATTATGCTTCCTTCACTCGGAAGCATATCTTCGTTTAAATCAAATTCGATTATCTAGACATTAAATAATAAAAAAATCACCTTAAAAATAAATAAAATTCAATTATGATACATAAACATTAAACGTCAAAATTGACGTTTACATTGACATAATAAAATATAGATTTGTTTGTGTGTTAATTATTGATCACATCATGTGATTAATGAAAAAATTTATTTAATCCTTTTAATATTGATTAATTTATTTAATATGTTGTAATTTTAATCCAGATTTAATAAAAGAGTAAATTTGGTGGAATTTTGTTGTATCACAAAGTACCTATTTACATAAAAAAAATTCTTGGTAGTGATAAAACCGTTCGAAATTGACTAAAAGATTATCATATCAAGAAGATTTATTAGTTACTACGTGCCTAAAAATCGGATGTAAAAAGTAAAGTACACATCACGAATCACGAGGTCGTCATTTCTATTTATAACTTGGATGATGCCTTATCAATTTTGTTATCGCAAATAACTCAATATGTAATAATAAGTTAAAAAAATCTAATTTAAATTAAACGTTTTATTTTTAATTAAATTTTTAAATTAACTTTTATTTATAATTATTATTAAATTTTTAAAACGTGTTTATCGCGCCATCTATAAATCGACATCCAAAATATTTCATTAATCAACGTCGGTAATGTAGATAATAATTTAAATCATCACCCTTAAAAGACATAACCTAAAAAAATTGTAATAGTTTAAAAATCTTTAAAGTTAACCGATTATGGCTAACGATAGGGAAGTTCTACGTGAAATATGGGAAGGAAAACTCCCCGTTTGTTTCACTTTAAATCCGGATGAAGTGCGAGATCTCCAACAACCCGATCCGTTTTATGTTCTCGTACCGAGGCTTAGTTATTTTTCCCTCGTAACCGATAAGGTAAAATATTAATCAATTTTTTTAATTTTATAAACAAATTTTTGTATTAATTTAGGTTAAAAAACACCTTATTCGATTTGTTAATGAAGAAAGTCAAGATCAAGATATGTGGTTAGAATACGACGGTCAACCGATTAAATGGCACTTCCCGATTGGGGTACTTTTCGATTTATTAATGGGTGATGATGTCCAATTACCTTGGAATATTATAGTTCATTTCGAGAAATTTCCCGAAAATAAAATCTTTAGGTTCAATAATAAGTGAGAATTAAAAAAAATTTTTTTTTTGAGGTTATAATTTTTGATTTTTAGGGAAGCTATAGAAGCTTTTTTTATGGCTTGTGTTAAAGAAGCTGATAATTTGAAGCATCGAGGGGTTGTGATTAATGGGATGCAAAAAAAGGATCATAATCAACTTTGGTTGGGTTTACAAAACGATAAATTTGATCAATTTTGGGCTGTTAATCGAAAATTAATGGATGCTTCATCGGAACAAGATTCCTTTAAACACATTCCGTTTAAATTTTATATTGATGATGGTTATAGACAGAAATTGGTGAAACCAACCACAGAGGATGGTCAAAGGAGAACACTTCAAGATCTTTTAGAAGAGGTGTTTCCAAATAAAAAAGATTGTAAGTAAAAAATTAAATTGAAATTAATAAATAATTTATTGTATTGATTTTTTTTTAGTGCGTGTAAGAACTCATGGGGTTTTACCACCTTTATCTACACCATTACAGTGGATGTCTGAGCATTTAAGTTATCCAGATAACTTTCTACATCTATGTTTAGCTTAAAAAAAGATTTCTTTTTAAATCTTTTTTATTAAAAATTAAAGACTTTGTTTCTCTATAATTATTTTTTGCATAAGAAATGTGGCTGTTAAATTAGTTTATTTAAATTTAATGTAACGAAAAACGTATTTTTTAAGATTTATTCATAAATATTTTTGTATTCAACTTTATGTTTATTTTTAAACATTTTTTTATATTATTTGCTAAAGAATACTTTCAAAAATCAATGCAATTATATTAATTTCGTATTTTACACAATTATAATAAAAAAAAGTGAGGTTAGAACTCATAAAAACATAAAACAACTTTAAGTTGGCAACCATGAACACGATTTTATTTAAAAATGTTTTAAATCTAACCTAAAAATCATTTTAATTAATAAATTAATGATAATTAATTCGTAAAATAGGAAATTTCTTCAATTTTTTGATATTAAATTATAGTTGCTCACAAAATTAAGTATATTGGGTGAATATTTTAAATGGTTATTAATTTATTTTGAAGTTTGTGACATATACAGTGACGGACAAAAGTCTACACTACATACAGGTCAAACAGTATTGAATTATGAGGTTTTTGTAAAACATAATAAGATAACTGATTGTACAAAGAATTCTACTCGATAATGGGGTTTTCTGCTGATTTTAGAAATGAATCGTCGTCTTCGACTAGAATTTGCTCAATCTCATGTCGACAAGAGATTGGATTACTAGTGTAGGGTTTTGTTTACTGACTAGTCGAAATACAATATTTTTGGAAATGATGGTCGGGCAAAAATTTGGAGGAAAGGAGTAACAAGAGGGTCAGGAGTAAAGAGTAACACCAACAGAGGGAATGATGAACTCACCCAAATATGGAAGATATTACTGGTCTGCTTCCAGAAGACCAATTACTTCCCGTGGAACACTATATATTGCTGGTAGAAGATGCTAATAGAATGCTAGATTCTGTTTACAGAAGAAACTTCTAATAGAAGGCTTAATATTGCTTACAATAATTATAGGCTGGACTGCAACTAGTAGAAAAATGGGTACTGCTGTCAGAAGGCTAGATAGTGTTAATAGAAGATTAGATACTGCTTGCAACCTCATAACTTATTGCTGTATGCAAACATTTGTCTACCACTGTATGTATTAACAACAATTTTGTTAACTAAATTAAATGGAAAATAATTCAATTTTCCAAATAATATAATCACAATATTAACAATAATAAGTAATAACAAATGATACGAAATTCACTCCATAAAACTGAGTATACAGTTAAGTAGTGATTAAATTTAGGTTGGTATTATGTTTTAATACGCTGTAGTTTTAGCTGTTTTAAAGTACTGTATAATAAGCATTCCTTCACAAAGTATACATCATACCTTTTAAGATCATTATCTTGTTGGAACCAGAACACAGTGGGAAGGTTGGGTTTTTGAGAATTTTGACATAAATTACGTTTTAAAATATCATTGTCATATTTCCCTCGATAAATTCCATAGTTCCAACGCCGTTGGTTGCCATTGATCACTATGTTTAACTGTTCCCACCAAATTCTTGATTTAGAGCTCACAATTTGGTTTTTTCCAAACTATTTGCCTTCTATCTGAACCTCAAAGGTTAATTTTAGTCTCATCAGTGAACATTACACTTTCCCAAAAGTGTTACAACCATATTTGATTATCTAAACGTTAAATAATCGAAAAATTATCTTAAAAATAAATAAAAATAAATAAAATTCAGTTAGGATACGTTACTTAACGTTAAACGTCAAAATGACATTTACATTGACATAATAAAATATAGATTATTAGAAAAATTTATTTAATTCTTTTAATATTGTTTAATTTATTTAATTAAACAATTTTAATAATTTGAAATGTCATTGTTGGAACCAGAACACAGTAGGAAGGTTGACTTTTTGAAAGCTTTGACATAAATTACGTTTTAAAGTATCCAAGTAACTAAATTTTGTCATATTTCTCTCAATAAACCCCAAAGATTAATTTTAGTCTCATTGTCATTTAGTCCCTTATTGTAAAACTTGAACACAGTAAAATCTACACCTTTCTGTGACTTAAAGAGTCTACAAAATTTAAGTTTTAGCTTATGATTGTTACAGGTTCTATAGCTGTAATATCTCTGTGGACAGTATATTTATCTACATTGTTGTGCAAGTGCAACAGACACTCTAATATAAATAGCTAGGGAAATGTTAGTATTTTTTGATCTATAAAGAATTTATGGCACTCGTCTCGTTACTTCAGATCACATATGGCACGTCGCTGCAGCCGAAAAACCCTAGACCAAGCAGTTCCTCCAGGCCAACAGAGAATATGATAATAGCGATTGACACAGTGCAAAGTCAGCAATTTTATTCGATTTTTATGTCAAAAAACGCCAATTTCAGAAACATTTACTTTCTAACCAAATAAGGTTGGTATAACTGATAAATGTGTTACAATTGTTTATGGAATATGACTTTGAGATTAATAACAAAAATTTTTTGTCAGAAACATTTCCTTTCATCTATTATCATTCTCGGAATTTTATTCGATTTTTATGCCAAAAACGCCAATTTCAAAAAAATTTAATTTCTAACCAAATACTGTTAGTGTAACTGATCAATGTGTTACAATAATTTATGGAATATGTCTTTAGGTTGATAAGGAACATTTTTTGTCCGAAACATTTTCTTCCATCTCTTTTCATTCTCGAAATTTTATTCGATTTTTATGCCAAAAACGCCAATTTCAGAAACATTTACTTTCTAACCAAATAAGGTTGGTATAACTGATCAATGTGTTACAATTATGTATGGAATATGTCTTTAGGTTGATAAGAAACATTTTTTGTCCGAAACATTTTCTTCCATCTCTTTTCATTCTCAGACTTTTATCCGATTTTTATGCAAAAAACGTCAATTTCAAAAACATTTACTTTCTAATCAAATAAAGTTGGTATAATTGATCAATGTGTTACAATTGCTTACGGAATGTGTCTTTAGGTTCATAAGGGACATATTCCGTTTTCCTGAACACCCCTGTATATATGGCGGAGTATCTTTCTTTCAAAGCAGTCCAACAGGTTTTCGTCATTTTTTGTCATCAGTTTTGTTGGTTACTACGCCTGACATTTATACTTTTCTCAGTCTAGGTTCCAAGGTATACAAATTCCGTTACACCTTTGAACATGTATGGTTCATTAATCAGATCTTCAAGTGGTGTTAGCTGAGCGTTATTAGGAACCTTCATGTATTTTGTATTGGGCGTATTTAGATCTTGTCTCCAATGCTTTGAAGGCCTCTATGAGGTCCCTTTTTGTTTTTGCAATTGTATCTATTTGCTATACCTACTCAATTCTCTTACAGCCTTCTCCAGACTTATGTTATCTTAATCACTTTTGCTTAACTGTATACTTAATTTTATGGCGTGAATTTCGTATCATTATTAATTTATCTATCTTCCTTTCCCCTGTATACTCAATTTTATGATTTATTTAAACTTTTTTATATTAATAATTAAAACGTATTACTAAACGAACTCGAAATATTATCTAACTCATTAAGAATATCTGTAATTTGCAAATCGCTTTGTTTCGAGTCCAAATCACTCTCAACTTTTGAATAAGAAAAATGTAAATTTCTTAAATGGATTGTTTTAAGAAGCGGCATGGGTCGGTTAAGATCTAATTTTTTAGTGCATTTTACCAAAGATGTCTGACAATTTCTTGTCGATAATTTTTTAGATGGTGTTTTATACAAAATGCTCCTTTCAGTTAAAATTTCTTTCCCTCTATCAACAAATTGGTTTAATTTCTTATTATCATCATCAAAAAACGAGTCGGTTTTATCGTTTAGACCCCCAGGAGAATTTAAATCTAAAAAAACGTAAAATAAATAAAAAATAAATTAAAAAAAAATTAAAATTATACCGTTTTTTAAATCCGTATTTGATAAACTAAATAATAACTTTCGGACGGTTCCTTTTAAAATTTTAACCCTTTTAAAAACACGTTGAATGTTATTCGCTTCTATTTCAGATTTATTAACTAATAATAAAACATTCGCACTTTTTATTTCGTTTAAAACTAGAAAGAAAATAAAATAATCGTTTATAAACCTCAAAAAATTTAAATTTACTCAATTTAACTTCATTTAAATTTTTTTCAATATCCTTTTTATTATCTAAATCCATTTCTTTAATCGAAACTCCGATTAAATCGACTAAAATCCAATTCTCTTTTATGATAACTTTAAATTTATCTGAATAACTTATTTTTGTACTCTCATTTTTTAAATAATCATTGATCTCGATTATGTGTAACTTTAATTCTTCGTAAACGACCTGGCAAAAAGCGAACGGATCGATAATGTTATAAATTAACTCTTTAAGATTATTTGCTTGTTGGATCCAAAATTGTTCGAGAAGGTACGAATAATTTTTTGATTGTAAATTAGGATCGAGTAATAAACGATTAAAACTTGGTACTAATTCACCTTCCAAAGCTTCTAAACTCGCCAAACAACTTTCCATTTGTATCCCAACTAAAATTAATAATAAATCATAAAAAATTTTAAACTAAAAATAAATTACTTTTGATTTGAGGTGATGCCGCAATAGCAAATAACCCAACTTGCATGATTCGATCGACGTGATTATCCAAATTAATTATTAATTCGTCAAATTGTTCCTCGTCTTTTTCTTTATTTAAACAAAAATTGTTTAAATCGAGTACCGGTTTTGTGTAATCACAAAAAACTTTTAAACTTAATTTTAACACGGCAAAATTAACCTTTTTTTCTAATACACACAACTTATCGTAACAACAATCGATAAAAAGATTACAAAAATTAATTTTAATTTCGTCTTTATTTAATTCGACAAGTAAACTTTCAAGTTCCTCCAAAACCGCTTTGCTATTTCCCTTAATTACTTTCGAATCTTCTATCGATGAAACTTGAGCGATCGACATTGCGTAACAAAGAACTTCTTCGATGCAATCTTTAGCGGCGTGATAATTTTTAATCAGATCGTTTTTATTATTAATCTCGGCGTTAATTTGTGAGAGCTTATCCAGCGAAAGATCCATGTATTTTAAAAAAGAACCGTTCGGTTTATTTAAACGATCGTTTATGAGAATTAGAGAGATTCCTTCGAAACATGTTTGTAGCTGTTTAATCACAAAATATCTCGCTTCCTAAATCAATTATGATTAATAGTTATTGTTATTATAAAAAAATAAAGTATTCAAGAAACACCATGTCGCTTAAAAATCGAAAATTTCTTTTTAATCGACGGGAAATCGCTCAAGTAAGCCGTTACAAATAAAAAAAAATGCGGAAGTGTAAAATTTACCGAAAAATCACGAAACATACATCAGGTCAACCTCAATTTCGACATATTTGTAATCTTCATTAAAAATCCTTTAAAATGAGTACAAACACGATATATTTATCTTCAATATTAACGAAGTTATGGTGAACTTCCGGTTAGAAATGTCAATCTCAATTTTGACATATTTGTAATCGTCGAGAAAAATCCTTTAAAATGAGCCGAAACATGATACGTTTAATTCCAATATTACTCGAGATATAAGCAACTTCCGGTTTGAAATGTCAATGTCATTTTGATATATTTTTAATTTTATAAAATGTCTTAAAATTTGCCACAAAAACAAAAATATAATTAAAAAAATCAAAAATTAAGGTTGGTATTAATATTTAAAAATTAAATTGCTATCTTCATTGTTGCTAACTTCGGGTGTAATGTTTTTTATTCTAACTTTTTTGTTTTTTGAGATAAGTGCGTCATGTTTGGACTCATTTTAAAGGTTATTTTATAAAGATTACGAATATGATAATAAAATTAAAGTTGACATTAACACCTGAAAGTTTTTTCTTACTCATGTAAAATGTCAACCTCAATTTTGACATATTTGTAATCGTCGTGAAAAAATCCTTTAAAATGAATATAAACACCACATATTTATCTTCAATATTAACGAAGTTATGGTCGACTTCCGGTTAAAAATATCAACCTCAATTTTGACATACCTATCTGTAATCTCAAAAATTCAAGTTTCGATTTGCTTTTTCTAATTGAACTCATTAACAATCAATTTTAAAGAAAAACATAAGTTGGTTTTGTAAAAAATTGATTTTCAAATCGAAACTAAAGAATAGCATTTTTTTATTGTCATCTTCATTCTTAAGATATTTACCTTAAAAGTTTTAATTTTTACAAAAAATACCAACATTGGTAACTTTTAAAGAGAATATCTCAAAAACAAAAGCAAATAGGATAAAATGCTACTGTTTATTTTAGATTTAAAATTTAATTTTGTACCTGAAAAAGATCTTGGAGATTCTGAAAAAGTCATCTCAATGAATTAGGTGATAAAGAAATAAAAGATAACCTCAAAAATACAAATTTTCTTTTGCTTTTTTGTAATTAAATTCGTTAACAATCAATTTTAAAGAAAAACAAATTAGTTAGTTATGTAAAAAATTAATTTTCAAATCGAAATTAAAGAGTAGCATTTTTTTATATTCATCTTCATTTTGGAGATATTTACCTTAAAAGTTTTAATTTTTACAAAAAATACCAACATTGGTAACTTTTAAAGGGAATATCTCAAAAATAAAAGCNCCCATTTGAAATGTCAATGTCATTTTGACATATTCTTAATTTTTATAAAATGTCTTAATATTTGTCACAAAAACCACAATATAATAAAAAAAATCAAAAATTAAGGTTGGTATTAATATTTAAAAATTAAATTGCCATCTTCGTTGTTGCTAACTTCCGGTTTAATGTTTTTTATTCTAACTTTTTTCTTTTTTGAGATAAGTACGTCATGTTTGGACTCATTTTAAAGGTTATTTTATAAAGATTACGAATGTGATAATAAAATTAAAGTTGACATTAACACCTGAAAGTTTTTTCTTACTCGTGTAAAATGTCAACCTCAATTTTGACATATTTGTAATTTCCATTAAAATGAATATAAACACGACATATTTATCTTCAATATTAACGAAGTTATGGTCAACTTCCGGTTAGAAATGTCAACGTCAATTTTGACATATTTGTAATCGTCAACTTCCGGTTTGAAATGTCAATGTCATTTTGATATATTTTCAATTTTATAAAATGTCTTAAAATTTGTCACAAAAACAAAAATATAATAAAAAAAAAATAAAAAGTTAAGGTTGGTATTAATATTAAAAATTAAATTACTATCTTCATTGTTGCCAACTTCGGGTTTAACGTTTTTTATTCTAACTTTTTTGTCTTTTGAGATAAGTGCATCATGTTTGGACTCGTTTTAAAAGTAATTTTATAAAGATTACGAATACAATAATAAAATTAAAGTTGAAAATAATTTTTCATAAAGAAACAAAGGAATTTGTCAAAAATGAAATTGAAAGCATTAAAAAACAAATAGATGAACTGCCTCCAATAACTACGGAATTATTCCTTATTTTCTTTAACCATTGATGGTAAAATTAAATTAAAAGAATGACACAGATGTCGTATTNTTTGTACCTGAAAAAGATCTTGGAGATTCTGAAAAAGTCATCTCAATGAATTAGGTGATAAAGAAATAAAAGATAACCTCAAAAATACAAATTTTCTTTTGCTTTTTTGTAATTAAATTCGTTAACAATCAATTTTAAAGAAAAGCAAATAAGTTAGTTATGTAAAAAATTCATTTTCAAATCGAAACTAAAGAATAACATTTTTTCATATTCACCTTCATTTTTGAGATATTCGCCTTGAAAGTTTTAACTTTTTCAAAAAACACGAATATTGATTACTTTAAAAGAGAATATCTCAAGAATGAGAAACAATGGGGTAAAATGTTACTCCTTATTTTTGATTTAAAATTAATTTTACTATCTGGAAACGACCTTGGATATTCTGAAAAAGTGATCTCAACGAATTAGGAGGTAAAGAAATAAAAATTAACCTGAAAAATCGAAATTTTGATTTGCATTTTCCAATTGTTCTTATTAACAATTATCTTTAAACCAAAGGTTATTTTGTAAAGATGATAATAAAATTAAAGTTGACATTAACACCTGAAAATTGTTTCTTACTCGTGTAAAATATCAACCTCAATTTTAACATATTTGTAATTTCCATTAAAATGAATATAAACACGATATATTTATCTTCAATATTAACGAAATTATGGTCAACTTCCGGTTAGAAATGTCAACCTCAATTTTGACATATTTGTAATCGTCAACTTCCGGTTTGAAATGTCAATGTCATTTTGATACATTCTTAATTTTATAAAATGTCTTAAAATGTGTCACAAAAACAAAAATATAATAAAAAAAAATAAAAAATTAAGGTTGGTATCAATATTAAAAATTAAATTACTATCTTCATTGTTGCTAACTTCGGGTTTAACGTTTTTTATTCTAACTTTTTTGTTTTTCGAGATAAGTGCGTCATGTTTGGACTCGTTTTAAAGGTTATTTTATAAAGATTACGAATACAATAATAAAATTAAAGTTGAAAATAATTTTTCATAAAGAAACAAAGGAATTTGTCAAAAATGAAATTAAAAACATTAAAAAGAAATAGATGAACTGCCTCCAATAACTACGGAATTATTCCTTATTTTCTTTAACCATTGATGGTAAAATTAAATTAAAAGAATGACACAGATGTCGTATTAAAAGGAGTTATAAAAGAAGAGTTAGAATATGGAATTTCAAGCCTCCATGCGTGAATAAAAGCGTTTGAATACATTTTACATATTGCATACAGATTAGAGATATGTAATAGAAATACCAGAAAATTCTGGTTGATATGCTTAGCCAGGTTTTGAAACAACCAATGACAGCAACACAGCCAGACGTTTTTTCAGAAGTCCTGAATTAGCTTCTTAAATCACAGGAGTGAATGAAAATTTTATAAAATAGCGTACAATTTAAATCTTATTGTATAGATATTGCAAGGATTTATGTTAATTTGTATCCTTGGTATTATATGCCACAAAATTTACATAAAATATTACTTCATGGGGCAGATCTAATCAAAAAAATCGGTTTTACCTATCCGACAAATGCCCGAAGAGGTACAAGAATCGCGAAATAAAGATCCAAAGCAATATAGGCGACGTTAAAACATCGACATCATACATACAGAAGTTAAAAAAATGATTAAATATAGCTTAAATGATAGTAGTGACATCAACAATTATATCAAAAACCTTTGCCTTAAAGCATTTCTTCAATTATTTATATTTTATAAGTTAATTTTCTTTTTTTTTACTACTTTTTCAGTTAAGCCACATGATGATTCTTGAATTTTTCCTCCTTACATGAATCATTTCCTTTATATCATTTTCGTGCAAAAATATTTTAATTAACAACGATAATAAAGTTGTTAATTGTTGCAAGTAAAGTAATAGGGATCGTTTAACATCTTTCACATAATCCAAACTCGATTTTTTAATTAAATTTGCTACAGTCATCAATAAATCCGACAAAATCACACAAAATTCCTAAAAAAAAAAATTTCAACATAACCTCAAATTTTAAAATTTTTGTTCACTTTTACATTGAACCAATCAACTTTTGATTTATACGAACACGCTGTATTAATCGAATTAAATTTTTCTAAACAAACACCGATTTTCTCACTTACATCACTCATTATTAACTTTTAAAAATAATTTAAACCAAATCAAACCGTTATTTTGTATACAACTTGAATAAATGTCAAAAAAACAGGTTATCCAACTTCAAATAAAATAAACTCACTAAAAAGTTAACCTAAAAATGGCAATTTTAATAAACGCACTTCAAAAGTTATCTTTAATTGAATTACCATTAAATCCAAGAATTTTACCATCGGTGAGATGTATGAAATGGATAATTAAACCGGAAATTGGTAAAGGGGTGGCTTTTCGAAGAAAAATTCATTATCCCAAAGAATACACGGTTAAGCCCTTAGAAGTGACTAATTTAGGGGGGAGAGACCCCGAAACGGGGCGGATGGTTGTAAGAGGAATCGGGGGTGGAATAAAACACAAATACCATTGGATACAATGGCAAAGATATGGTCCAAAAGATGAAAGTGAGCCTATTGTTGAAAAAGTAATAAAAATTTTAAAAGATGGGTGTCGTACATCTTTGGTGGCTTTAGTTGCTCGCGACGATGAAATGAGATACATTTTAGCCCCTCATGGTTTAAAAGAGGGTGATTTAATTCGCACTTCAAGTTATATCCCAAGAATTCCAGTTCGTGCTAATATCGGTGATGCTTTTCCTTTGGGTGCTCTTCCCATTGGAATACAAGTACATTGTGTTGAAAAATATCCAGGTCTTGGTGGATTTTTGGTTCATGCAGCTGGTTCAGCCGCCACGATAACAAGAAAAGATAGTAATAATCGAGTTGTTATACAATTACCAAGCAAAAGGGAATTTTCTTTACCAGAAAATTGTATGTGTACAGTTGGGAGGTTAAGTAATATAACGCATAATATTACACCGATTGGTACTGCACAAAAAAATAGGGAACTTGGGAATAGACCTCGATCGGGATTGTGGCAAAGAAAAACCGGACGATTTGGGAGAAAAATTAGGCAACCTCCAGCACTTAGAACTGTGGTGTCTAAAGAAAAACAAGTTGGGGCGATTCGATTAACATTACCGGGTTTGCCATAAATTAAATATGTACACATATTTATAATAATAAAAGTTACAAGTCAATAAAATTTGTATAAATTGTTAATAATCCAATTGAGGATGATATTACTTATTGTAATTAGTTGTAACTTCATAGTTTATAATCCATAATCACGTTTAAATAGAGATTGAGAGTTAAATAAGTTTTAGAATTGAAATTCTAACCTCACTTTTTAAATTTGACATTAATTATAATTTAATTTATTATTAAAAGACTTTGAATCACTTAAATATTGTAATTAAGATACTCATTAATTAGTTTAGTGATAATTTGGAGCTTGATAACGCTTATTTGTTGATGAAAATTCCTTTCGAACTTTACAAAGTTTTGACATGAAAAGTCATAACGCAGGGTGAAATTTTCGTCAAATCCTTTTGTTCAATTATGAAAGGGAAGAATAATAAATCTTTATTTGAGGAAATTCATAAGAATAAGGTAGAATTTAATAAAATTGATTTTATAACCTCAAAAGAATAGTAATTATAAAAAATGGATGACCCATGGAAAAATTCAACCAATCAGAAAGGAGCGATTTCATTTGTTTCAAGAAAATCGTATATAAGGGTGAAATTTTTGGAGGAGGAACAGTCGATTTAAAAGCGTCTTAGCGTACACGTCGTTTTGTTAAAAATTTGGTTTTATAACCTTAGTTATCGAATTTTCTACATAACCTCCAAATTTATGGAAGAAATCTTACCGACATAGAAGAATACCAGATCGAGAATTAAAATATAAAGTTAAATAAATGAGAGATCCTGAATAATATTTGTTCCTGTTATCAAGAAGAAGATCCTGAATAATATCCTATCCTGTTCAAAAGACGAGGACCCTGATCCAGACTACCAAGCTTCCAGTGTTCCAGTCCAAATTGTTTGTTCCAGTCGAAATTAAAACCAGATAAGTGATAACGATTAATATTTCACCCTAATTTAATATTTGATGTAATACTCGTTTTTTTTTTTTAGTTTTACATTGTTTATTTTACCACTAAATACAAATTCTTTGATCAATAGGTTGCGTTAACCTAACCTTATTTAAAACATATACCAAAGAAATTGTATCATGAAAGAACACCATGAAGTTGTCTGTTATATGATAACTAACTTCGGGTGTAAAATGTCAATCTCAATTTTCACATATTTGTAATCTTCATTAAAAATCGTTTAAAATGAGCCCAAACATGATACGTTTAATTCCAATATTACTCGAGATATAACCAACTTCCGGTTTGAAATGTCAACGTCATTTTAATATATTCTTAATTTTTATAAAATGTCTCAAAATTGATCACAAAAACAAAAATATTATAAAAAAAAATCAAAAATTAAGGTTGGTATTAATGTTTAAAAATTAAATTGCTATCTTCATTGTTGCTAACTTCGGGTTTAATGTTTTTTATTCTAACTTTTTTGTTTTTTGAGATAAGTGCGTCATGTTTGGACTTGTTTTAAAGGTTATTTTGTAAAGGTTACGAATATAATAATAAAATTAAAGTTGACGTTGACACCTGAAAGATTTTTCTTAGCAGTGCATCAAAACTCTTTCAAAAAACATAAAAATTATTAGACGCACGGCTAAATACGAATATTTCTAGGTCTAGTGTTAGTTTTTGTGCAATAAAAATATACAACATAGTAATATCTTATGCTAACTAGCGCTACCTACCACTGCCACTAGAACTAACACTAGACCGAGAATCAGTGTTGCCATGCGTACGGTAATTCCACTAAATGTACGGTGTCCAAAGTTGAATACCGTACAAAAATGTACGGTAATTTAGAAATCTGTAATTTAATTTAAAAATACGTACTGTACTCAGGATGGCGTTAGATGGCGTCATAACAGGTGGCGTAAAATGCTATTCAATCAGTATATGGGGAACCACACGGTTTTAACATAACCAATGAGAAAAATATTGTTATATTGGCGTATAATATCTTGTATATTCATGTCTATTGTTCATTCTGATTCTGTGTTCAAATTTTATAATATTCCGTTTGCGACCATATACCGGTGTCCCGAATCTCAATACCAAGCGGGTACCGTGCGAGAGGCCAACTGACAAAAATAAGAAAAAAATTCCATGTCTCTTAGTAATAGACTTATTTCTGAAAATGCTAAATCGTTAAATCTTTATGTACTAGGGTCAAATAATGTAATCCTTATTAACCATACTATACAGGGTGATTCACATAAGAACCGACACAGAGCAGGGACATGTGAGCATGACCTCTATACTAAGTTGTACACCTGAGGAGTGCGTTATAGGCCTTCAAAGTAGGCTCTTAAATTTTGAAAAAGTTGAATATTTTCGTAATAAATTAAGCTAGAAAAACCAAATTTGGTATACGTTATGAGTGTACCAAGGGTATTAATTGGTAGCAAATTGAACTCAATTGAGGCATTTCAAAGGGTTGATTAAGGGTGATGGTACTCTAAATTTTGACAGATCTTTTCAACCTTTTGACGGATTTAATACATTACCACTTCATTTAATGTGGAATTTAATTCTAAAACTTTTCTTACTCTTATTATTTTTTAAAAAACTTTGTCGTTTTCATAAAAAACTTAAATAACTAAAGACACTTATTTCGTAATGTCACTTACAATAAGCGAAAATTCAGTAGTCGGCTATGAAATTGTACGTCAAACTTGACAAATAGGTTATAAAATTATTTGACAACAAGATTTTATACTTTTTTATAATCTTTGTAATATACGGCTATTTAAAAATTTGTTAAAACGCTCAAACGGTGTTGTTTGTTTATTGAGAACCGCTGATACCATGTTTTTATTGCTGCCAATCCAGTTGATTTGGTTACTTAGCAGCGGACAAGTATTTTAATTATTCTTTACTGAATATCAGCGATTCTCAAAAATGGACGTTAAATTATTCGCTTCCAGCCTGCTAGTTATGTAAATAGGGGAATCCCCTAAATGCTTAAGGCTGATGTGCAGTTAGGTAGATAAGGCGCGGTTTTGTTATTCGTTAAAAAACTCTTGTACGGATTAGACTTGTTGAGAGTGCCGCATCAGTTATGTGTGATCGAGTTGAAAAACGCGGTACGGCGAAAGGTCAAATAGGTAAAAATATCCGAACAAGCTATGATGCTAATTTTAAAATTATGGCTATAGAAAAAACAAACAATTGTGCAGCCTAAAAAGTGATGAAACTGTTGTTGATTTTGTAAATGAAATGCGTGGATAAGGATTTTCACAAACAAGAGAAACAATTCAATTAAAAACTCAAGAAATAGCTAAAAGCAAAAATATCCCTCAAACTACATTTAAGGCAAGTTATGAATGGTGTAGAAGAATGATGGTTAGGAGTGGATTATGTTTGCGACGTCGTACAACGTTAGCCCAAGAACTTCCTAAAGATTTTGAGGAAAAGCTAATCGAATATCAACGTTATGTAATAAACTTAAGAAAACAGGACAAATATGCTTTAAACTTGATATGTAATGCGGATCAAACACCAGTATATTTTGATTTGGTTTCAAATTATACCATAAATAAGAAAGGAGAAAAATCTGTTCTAATCAAAACAACAGGAAATGAAAAATCGAGGGTAACGGTTATGTTAGCAGTACTTGCTGACGGAACAAAACTTTCTTCTTATGTGGTACTGAAAAGAAAAATCATGCCAAGGGACAAATTTCCAGGTGGAATTATAATTAGGGTACAAGACAAAGCATGGATGGATTAAGCACTGGTTATAGATTGGATAAGAAGTGTTTGGGCAAATCAACAAGGGAATGATGGAGAGAGAGAGCAATGTTTATATTGGATGCTTTTCGGGGTCACTTTTTAGTCAATCATTATTCCTGGTGGTATGGCTTCACAACTGCAGGTTTTAGACGTTGTAGTCAATAAACCCTTTAAGGATCACTTAAAGAAACAGTTTTCAAATTGGCTTCAGTCAAATGATCATCCAGTTTTACACTAACACTAGAACTAACACAAGACCTAAAACTAGAATCATTCGGGTTTAGCCGTTTTGAGAGACGTGGGGCTAGATCCAAATGTTTCTAGTTCTCAGTCTAGTGTTAGAAAATAGAGAACTTGGGAATACCCCTCATAAAGAAAAACCGGACGATTTGGGAGAAAAATCAGGCAATCCCCAACACTTAGAACCGCGGTGCCTAAAGAAAAACAACTTGGGGCGATTCGATTAAAATTACAAGGTTTTTACCATAAATGAAATATGTAATTATATGTAAACATATTTATTTATAATAATAAAAGTTACACGTCAATATTTTTACTTAAAAAATAACTATCTTACGCGCTACACTCTCTTTTCTTTTAAAATTATTGGGGGCTCAAATTGTTATACAATTCGCTATGGCAAGAGTCCTCATCGCGCTTTGTACTGAAACATCGAGGATTAAAAATATCAAAAAAACGAAAAATCCTCGATTTTCCTTTTTCCATTATTGCATTTAAAAAGCGTAAAGCTTCGTTCCTTTTAATTCGAAAATTAATTACAATTATTTTCGTTTCGGTACTTTTTATTTAATCACAGCAACGCACCTCGGCCTCAAAATCAAATAGACATTTAAAAAATGATTAAAACCTATTTACTTATATTTTTTTTTATATATTACGATTAAATTTTTTTTTTACGTAGTGCTTATTAATCTGTGTGATTTGAAACAAATTTAAACTGCTACTGAACTCATTGAATTTTCCGAACTATTCGTTGGAGGAGTTTCTAAAGATGCTATACGTTGTTGTAACGTTTGAATCTATTTCGACAAAAAAATCAGTTCGGTTTTTAAAAATTATCTTTAATTAATTACCTGGGATGTATGTCGCTCTACCATTTGAAGCATTTGTTGTTCCATACGTTTAAATTTTGCTTGATATTTCTTATTATTTCTATCTACGGTTTCGGCTAATATACTAAAAAAAAATTGGTTAGAATTATGTTAAAATTATGTCGGTAAAGTAGAAATTATTTTTTATGTATGCATAATTTTTACCTATTTGTTTGATTGAGATCATGAACTAACTCTCGTCCTTCTAATAATCGAGCTTCCGCGTTTTTAGTAACTTGTTCTAATGTTGAAACAAGTTCTTGTAAACGAACTTTTAATCTTGATTCTCTCCCTAAAGCTTGCATTAATTCCAATTCAACGCCTTGCGCATGTTCGGTATCTGAATAACCCCTTTCCTAATTGATTCAAGTAACACAACATTAAAATTACCTTAAAGGGGACTGAAGAGGATGAGATCCAGAATGAGGCATGGTTGGAGGTGACGGAGACAGTGAAGAAGAAGCTATGAAAGTGATGGGCAATTATAGAGGAATCACCCTGTTTTGGACACTACATTTAAAATATATGCAAAGGTACTGCTGGGGAGATTGGGAGAGGAAATGGAGAGGGGGAGTTGTTTCCGGATGGGCAGGCGGGATTCAGGAAGAGAAGAGAGGCAATTGACAATAAATACATATTGAAACACCTGGCAGATAGGGAGTTGTACAAGAAAGGAGGAAAGTTGTATGCATTGTTCATAGACCTGAAGGCGGCATTTGATAAGGTGGATAGATGGAAGATGTGGGAGACAATGAGGAGGAGAAGTATCACAAAACAACTGATAGAGAGAGTGAAGCAGATGTACAGGGAGACGACGGTTCAGGTTAAAGTGGGGGAATAGTTAAGCGAGATATTCTGGAAGAGACAAGGTAGTCCCATACTATTCGCGATGTATAGGGCGGACTTGGAAGATGGCAAACTGGTGGGGTAGTGATAGGAGGAATGAAGGTGCACGGACTGGCGTATAAGCGAAGGGGTTGGATTTAAACGTCTAGAAGACAAAGAGCATGAAGTTCTGCAAAGGGGGGATAAGTAGGAGGAAGCACTGGAGGCGGGAGGGAAGAGAGATAGAAGAAGTCAAAGAGTATACGTACCTAGAATATGGGTTCTTGGATGTTAATAAGGTTGGGTCGCATGTGAGGGCTATGGCAAAAAGAGCAAACAGGGTGATGAGACAGGTTTGGGAATGGGGCAACAGAACTTTTGGGAGGGATGTGGAAAAAAGAAAGGTTATGTTTGAATGGAGAGAACAAGGAATGCTGGAGGATGTGCAAACAAGTTATTGGAGATGAGTATTAGGGTTGACGAGGGAGACTCCAGGATATACAGGGTGTTTCAGGTTTTTGTAGCTAACAGTCGACAGATCTTTTAAAATTAACACAAAAACTTCATACACACACAGGTCAACAAACACTTTGTTTTGAAGATACAGGGTGTTCAAATTAAATTATTAAATTAATTCTTTTTAATATTACACGTATATTTCAACCGATTCTATTCAAATTTGGTATACGGAGGTGTTTTGGCATGAGAAAGACGATTATGGAGTTCGTTTTACTCTAGCCGGTAGAGGGCGCTCTGTAATATATTCTTTACGGATTAAAATAACCATAACATTTCTGACAGTATACTTTTTGAGTAAAAATTTATAATAGAAATAATTTCATCTCTTGTGGGAACAGGTGTCTCATACACTTTTCCTTTCAAATACAGTACAAGCTCGTTAATCCGACACGTCCAGTAATCCGGTATTTTAAAACTCTTATAATCAACTCTATAATCCGGCACTCATAAAATTCTACGATGTATAATCCGGCACGTTTATTATTTCGTCACAACCTTAGAGAATAGTCAGTAATAGGGGATTCCCACAAGTTTCTGTTATTGCGTGTGCGTTACATGATTTTTATGCACCCATATCAAAATGGAAGGTAAAACACGAAAACGAAAGCACGAAACGTTAACTCTAGTTAATAAAATGAAAATTTTAGGAAAATTGTTGGATTCCGGTGAAACTCAGGTGAAGTTACTCAGGCTGGTGAATACAATGTCGGTCGTGCGACAATTTACGACATAAAAAAAATCGTGGAAAAAATTGAATGTTGTGTTAAACAAAGTGATTCGGGAATGAGTGATCGTCAAACAATGAAAACAGGAGAATATACCCACTTATGGAAGGTGCTTTATATTCTTGGTTTCTTCAAGAACATCGCTGTAAGAAGACTCACGAGAAAATCTATAAGAATAAGGAATTTAAAGTAAGTGAGGGCGGGTTTCAAAAATGTAAGGTAAGATATGGAATTAGAATATTGACCGTAACGGGAGAAAAGCTGTCTTGTAATGAGGCGGCTATTGCTCCATTTATCGAACAGTTCAGGAAAAAGGTGCATGATCTTAATTTAACTCCCGATCAAGTCTACAATGCCGATGAAAGTGGATTGCTCTGGAAAGTTTTACCAAACAAAACATACGTTTCCAGAGAAGAGCGAGAAGCACCAGACAGGAAAGTGTCCAAGGATAGAGTTACCATTATGCCTTGTGCCAATGCTAATGGTACGCAAAACTCAAGCTTTTATTGATGGGAAAAGCGATATCACCTAGGGCATTTAAAAATGCTGATCTACCACTCGTATACAAAAATCAAAACAAAGCATGGGCAACCAAACAAGTATTCGTAGAATGGTTTCATAATGATTTTGTCCCTGAAGTATTACGTTTTTTGAAGAGCAAGAATCTTCCGCTAAAAGCGCTTCTTATTTTAAACTGCACATGGGCCTAATGAAAATTTAGCTTCAAGAGATGGTCTAATACAAACACTTTTTTTACCTCATAATTTCACACCTCTGCTTCAGCCTATGGACCAAAATGTGATCTAAATGATAAAGACTAATTACAAAAAAAAAAATCCTGATCAATGCTGTTTTGCGAGATGATGTGTCGCTAAAATGTTAAAAAATTCACCCTGACTGAGGCTTAGAATAGTGTATCTGACAGAATAATACAATCATCTTGGAAGAAATTGTGGCCATCATTAAATAACAATGAAGTAGAAGATGAATGGGATATAGAAGACGAGCTCTCAATTGCAGAGTTGAAAAGTATGCTAAAAAATCAAGAAGAAAAGTCAAACTTTACAGAGGAAGATATAGATGAGTGGTTTGCAGAAGAACCGGGCAACGCACCAATGATGACCTGATGATGAATAAATAAATAAAGTGATCAGTAAGGAATCACACAATGATAATATAGAAGAGGTTGCCTCAAAACTTCAAGTGAACTCTGTGAAGTCTGAGGACGCATTAAAGGCAATTAATCTCAATATCCTTTGGGCCGAAGACAATAAATAATCTGCAGATATTCTACTAACACTGAGGGAATTGAGAGAAAATATACTCCATAAAATCTATTATTGCAAAAAAACGGTCATTAACGTCATGATACGTCATTAACAAATAACATTATCATTTCTTTTTATAACTATTTTACAAAAAGTTTAAAGGATTAAGATCTGCAAATCGTGGGGGCCATACAACTGGTCCACCACGACCAATTCATCTTGCAGGAAAATGGTTGTTTAGCCAATGTGATTTGACACGTGATACAAGAAATTAAAACATTAGTGAACTTACTTTGTTACACATTATATCTATATTTAACTATCCTCTAAAAAAATTGGTCTATATCGAATAATAAAAAGCGGATTATCTTGAAAACGATCAACTTTAAAGCACCCCCTTTTTGTTTAAAAAAGTACAAAGAATAAAAAATTTTATTCAAAAAGTATACATATATGTAGTATATATATAAGTGTCAGAAAAGTTATGGTTATTTTAATACGTACAGGGTGAGTAAATTTGGGTGTTATTATAGGCTATTTCAGAAACTATAAGAGATACAAAAAAAGTAGGCGCCATGTCTCGGTCTCTTTTTTCGAGAGTAATCCAATCCCGCAAATATCAAACATCTATCTTCTTTTGTTTTTAAGTTATAGCCAAAAAGTCAAATTTTTGTGATTTTAAAAAATGCTCGTATTTCGTTTATTTTTGAAATTAGAGAAATATGGGGTTGTTGATACGTTCTTAAGACACTTTTTTTTAGTAGGATTTACGTTGAAAAATTTTAAAAATTCTTGATGATTTTCGAGATATAACACAAAGTTGTATTTTTTAAATACAAACTATAGTTGATTATGATGTTACTGAAAAGAGCATATTTTTAGCTTTTCAATGATGTATCCAATGTATAGTGTATTTGCGGAAAATAAGTGTTAATTTTCAATTCCAAAATAGTAAGCACTAATGTTCGAAATTTTGATTGGCTATGACTTAAAAACAAACGAAGACAGACGTTTGGTCTTTGCGAGATTGGATTAGTCTTGGAAAATGAGACCGGGATATGGCACCTACTTTTTTCGTATCTCTTATAGTTTTTGAGATAACCTATAATAACATCCAAGTTTGCCCACCCTGTACAGAGTGCCCTCTACCGGCTATAGTAAAACGGACGCCATAACCGTTTTTTTCATGCCATAAAACCTCCGTATACCAAATTTGAATAGAATCGATTCAAATACACGTCCAATTTAAAAAAAAAAATTAATTTAAAAATTTAATTTGAACACTCTGTATCTCTATATGAAGTTTTTGTTTTAATTTTAAAAAAATTATCGGTTGTTAACATTCTGATACAAAAACCTGAAACAACCTGTATAATGAGGGTGGAGGCTGGGAGAAGAGCAGTGAAATATGAGGAAAGGATAGAGGGAAGACCGCATTGCAGGATCCTGGAAGAGTGCAGAAGGGAAATTAAAGAGAGGAGGCTGGTATATGGGCAGGGAGATAGGGAAGGATATTGTAAGAAAGTGGGATATTCAATAAATGGAATAGGCAATAGAAGAGTGGAGAGAGGCGAATTGTGGAGAGAACTAAAGGATAGGGACAAGGATATACAGAGACAAGAAAGAAGGTCAGAGATACAGGAAGAAAGATATAATGTTAAGGTATGGAGAGATAGTGACAGAGGAATTGCCAAAGTATCTATTGATGGAAGGGGACGAGGAAGAGAAGAGATTGGTGTCCAGATTTCGATGTGGCAATGAAGAGAAAGGGGGAGAAGGTGATGGACTGGAGACAGATTTTTGGAGTGGGGATAATAAAATTACCTTATTTTGCGTAGCAATTGCCAATAATGCTTCAGTATCTTTTAACTGTCCCTGTATATTTTTTAAAGTCGCACTTTGAGCTTTTTGTTGCCCTTCCACATATTTCAATTTTAATTCAATCGTACACTTTTCTTTCTCCATAACGAATAATTTTGCGACTAATTCAGCTTTTTCCTCTCTCAACCCCATTAATTCTTGCATTAAAACCGCCATTTCAAGATCTAATTTTCTCGCCTCTTGACTGCTAGAAGGCCGAATTGGGACGTGATCGACTTGGGTTGATTCTAAAACCACGTACGTTCCTTGAATGTTACTTCTTTCAGCTTTTAAACGGGATACATGCTCACGAAGACGATTTTCATGATCGGTTGTCCAAGATTCATCACTTAAAAATAAACGAATATGATTAAAATTAATTAAAATATAGGAACTTACTTTTCAATCGTTGGGGTGTTATTAATATGATTTTGCCAGGGTGATAACAAAACGTCGGTACTTTGATATGAATCGAGATGTGTTAAAAGTTGTTTTGCAACAGTTTCAGCGGCCGTTCGATTATCTAAGCATTTTGAATGGATGAAAACGTTGTTTTCGTTTAATGATAACTCAGTTTCTAAGAGTGCTAATAAAACGTCGTATGCTTCTATTGCTCTATCACACATTCCAAGAGCTAAACGTAACGCAATCGCGTTTGATTCGTATTTTCCGCATAATAGTGCTAACCTATCACAATGAGCTTTCGTTTCTGATAAAGTCAAGGCTAACACAGAATTTTGCGACCTTGCATGTTCTAATTTCGCCGTTAATCTTTTAAATTCAATTTCAACCGCTTGCTTTTCACTTTGACTATCACATTGTCTCAAAATGTCACCGACGATATGTTCGGCGACGATCGTCGATAATTCCTCGCCATTAATCGTTACCTCGTTCGAACTAAAATCTTTTAAATCATCCGAAACCGTTTTTAATTTAATCCTCTCCGCCATTTTCGTTATGGTCGCCCGGGGAATCCCAATTCCATTCCTATTCGTCAAACCGTGACTTTTATGAACTGGTACGATGTTTCCGTATTTAATTAAATTTTCGTTTTTGTTGTAAAAATTTTTCGGCGGTTGCTCGCAATCGGTTTCCAATTGAGATTCTACCGATTCTAAGGTCTTAGTGGTTGCGTCTTCGACGTCTTTTGTGGGCGTGGTGCTTCGAGTGGTGGTTTCGTAGGCCGAAAGTTTCGCGTGCGCCTCCAACAGTTGGGCTTTGAGGGATGCTATTTCCTGTTTTAAGGGCGTTACGCTATCTTGAGACGTCGAGTTTGGAGATGTTGTCTCGTTGTTTTCGTGGTTTGAGGTGGAGAGCTTTGGTTCGGGAAGTTCTGAAGGACTTTCTGCAAACTTTATTATTGAATTGATTAAAATGAAATGTTTATAATTTAATAGTTTTTATATACGATATTTTTAATTCCCATAAAGCGCCCTTCACACGATCAATATAATATATTTGTCAATATGGCCAATAAATATTGACAAGCTGTAATTTCCTCAGACTATTATCAATATTTCTTAACATCTACTTAGTTTTGTGTTGGAAGTTAAAGATGTCATACCGTGAAAAAGCTTGTGTAGCTAATTGATTTGCATGTGTTAATGAACCATCCAGGGAGTTAATAGCACTTTCGTCCATTAAAGTATAACTGTCTGAATCCATTATTACGCAATATAATCCTACTGACGTAGGATTGAAAATATCTCCCTCAGTCTGTCAATATTTACAGTCAATACATCAAATATTTTCGTTTTCGTCAAACCATCTTTCTACTCACACGTTCAATAATATTGTCAATTCTCAGATATTGACAATATATGGACCGCGTTATGCATCACTTGACTAAGCGACAAATGAACAATGTTGAGAAAAGGGGGATTTTCGTTTTCATCTCTCTAAACACCCTGTGTTTCTGTAACTCGTGGCATAAATTTAATCACAAATAAAAATTTTGGAAGAAAATTATCTAAGAAAAATACTTTTGTTTACATTTGTTTTTAAAATTAATTATACCTAGCCAACTATTAAAAAAAAACATATTAGTGTTACCTTACATCACTCATTCGCGCTTATGGGGATTTAGAAAATATTTTTCTGTGGCTAAACCGTTCACCCAACTGAAATTTTGTAAGAGAGAAAATAGTTTCTAAATTAAAGTAACTATTCAGAAAAAAATGTGGTCTTGCGTTGTACATGTCATTTCCGGACACCTATATAGAATTTAAGAATTTAATAAACGTGAAATGACCCAAAAAACATGTTAAAAATAAAAAGAAAGTGCGAAAAAGCTATTACACTAGATTAATTTCAGTTATAAAACTTCTATTTTATGATAACTAACTTCAGGTTTAAAATGTCAACCTCAATTTTGACATATTTGTAATCTTCATTAAAAATCCTTTAAAATGAGTACAAACACAACATATTTATCTTCAATATTAATGAAGTTATGGTCAACTTCCGGTTAAGAATGTCAACGTCAATTTTGACATATTTGTAATCGTCGTGAAAAATCCTTTAAAATGAGTCCAAACATGATACGTTTAATTCCAATATTACTCGAGATATAAGCAACTTCCGGTTTGAAATGTCAATGTCATTTTGACATATTCTTAATTTTTATAAAATGTCTTAATATTTGTCACAAAAACAAAAATATAATAAAAAAAAAATAAAAAATTAAGGTTGGTATTAATATTTAAAAATTAAATTGCTATCTTCATTGTTGCTAACTTCGGGTTTAATGTTTTTTATTCTAACTTTTTTGCTTTTTGAGATAAGTGCGTCATCTTTGGACTCATTTTAAAGGTTTTTTAATGAAGATGACAAATATGTCAAAATTGACGTTGACGTTTCAAACCGGAAGTGATTGTATTTCCATTAATATTAAAGTTAAATATGTCGAGTTTGGACTCATTTTAAAGGATTTTTTATGAAGTTGACAAATATGTCAAAATTAAAAGTTGAAAGTTCGAACTTTTTGGTTTTTTGAGATAAATGCGTCAAGTTTGGACTCACTTTAAAGGTTATTTTATGAAGATTACGAATATAATAATAAAATTAAAGTTGACATTGACAACTGAAAGTTTTTTTCACGACTAAACACTAGATTAACGTCAATTATAAAACTTCTATTATATGATAACTAACTTCAGGTTTAAAATGTCAACCTCAATTTTGACATATTTGTAATCTTCATTAAAAATCCTTTAAAATGAGTACAAACACGACATATTTATCTTCAATATTAATGAAGTTATGGTCAACTTCCGGTTAAGAATGTCAACGTCAATTTTGACATATTTGTAATCGTCGTGAAAAATCCTTTAAAATGAGTCCAAACATGATACGTTTAATTCCAATATTACTCGAGATATAAGCAACTTCCGGTTTGAAATGTCAATGTCATTTTGACATATTCTTAATTTTTATAAAATGTCTTAATATTTGTCACAAAAACAAAAATATAATAAAAAAAAATCAAAAATTAAGGTTGGTATTAATATTTAAAAATTAAATTGCTATCTTCATTGTTGCTAACTTCGGGTTTAATGTTTTTTATTCTAACTTTTTTGTTTTTTGAGATAAGTGCGTCATCTTTGGACTCATTTTAAAGGTTTTTTAATGAAGATGACAAATATGTCAAAATTGACGTTGACGTTTCAAACCGGAAGTGATTGTATTTCCATTAATATTAAAGTTAAATATGTCGAGTTTGGACTCATTTTAAAGGATTTTTTATGAAGTTGACAAATATGTCAAAATTAAAAGTTGAAAGTTCGAACTTTTTGGTTTTTTGAGATAAATGCGTCAAGTTTGGACTCACTTTAAAGGTTATTTTATGAAGATTACGAATATAATAATAAAATTAAAGTTGACATTGACAACTGAAAGTTTTTTTCACGACTAAACACTAGATTAACGTCAATTATAAAACTTCTATTATATGATAACTAACTTCAGGTTTAAAATGTCAACCTCAATTTTGACATATTTGTAATCTTCATTAAAAATCCTTTAAAATGAGTACAAACACGACATATTTATCTTCAATATTAATGAAGTTATGGTCAACTTCCGGTTAAGAATGTCAACGTCAATTTTGACATATTTGTAATCGTCGTGAAAAATCCTTTAAAATGAGTCCAAATATGATACTTTAATTCCAATATTACTCGAGATACAAGCAACTTCCGGTTTGAAATGTCAATGTCATTTTGACATATTCTTAATTTTTATAAAATGTCTTAACATTTTTTACAAAAATAAAATCAAAAATTAAGGTTGGTATTAATATTTAAAAATTAAATTGCCAATCTCATTGTTGCTAACTTCGGGTTTAATGTTTTTTATTCTAACTTTTTTGTTTTTTGAGATAAATGCGTCATGTTTGGACTCATTTTAAAGGTTATTTTATAAAGATTACGAATATAACAATAAAATTAAAGTTGTTTAATTCCAATATTACTCGAGATATAAGCAATAAATAATTTAATTTTTTAATAAAATGTCTCTTAGTCAAGTGATGTCCAATTTAATAGTTATTTATATCGATGTTTTTCTAACCTAACAATTGAAATGACACTTGTGTCAAACTGTCATTTAATTAAAACCCTAAATTTATTTGTTTAATTATTTTAAACAAATTTCCTCAAATATTATATTTACAAAACATCACTTTTTGATAATTAATAAACTAAATTATTTATTATAAATGAAATATTTTTTTTATCAATTTTATATTGGCAGTATTGAAACCTTCCATTTTGAATTTATTATTTGACGTTTTTTAGGTTATGATTTCTACATCAACACGTTTTCATGAAAAAAAATCTTAAAATAGATGGCAAGAAAGGTCTTTGCTCCGTTTTGACCTAAATACTTCGCAAAAAAATCCAATTAACCCTCGGTATTTCATCCTTGTTGGGGTGAATCGTAAAAATTCGCTAAGAATTTCTTACCGGTTTGACGTCAACGTCGGATAAATCATTTTCGGCCGGTTCTAGCTCGCTAACTTCCAAGGGGCAAGTCAAAGAGTCTTCATGTAAATCTGTACAAGGTTCTATTCAATTAAAAATATTGAATTATTACTGTAAATAATGTAAATATAAAAAGATTTTGATTACCTGATATTTCATCTTCTTCGGCAATAGCCATAGCTTTTTGTTGTTGTAATTTTCTTGTAAGCTCAGCTATTACCGAATGAAGTTCTGTCAGCTGTTCTTCATACCTTTGCGATTGCTCATCCAATTGTTCTTGTAATTTTTCCTTAAAAAAAAATTCTTTTTAAATTCTCAATGGGGTAGGTGTTAAATTTTTAAAAAGGGGCTGTGACCTACATGATGTTAACCCGCCCGGTCAGGTCTCACCCCCAACCCAGATTTTCTGCAGCCCCCCACCACCCCGCATAAAGTGCAGTAGTAGCAGCAATTTCGATTTTGCCCGTGCGACGAGGATATGACCGGAATTTGAGGGAAAATAGAATTTGTGACTCAAGTCCCCTTGGTTTTAAAGGGAAATTGATGTTTTATTGAAGAGGAAACTTCGTTTAGTTGTTATGGATTAAATAGAATTTTCTTGTAATTTCCTTTTTGAAAGAAGATGAGAAAAAAATCGTTGAATAGGATATGAACCACTCTATCACTCACATTGACTTGCAAATTAAAGTTAAAATATGAATTCTTGGAATGGATACTTTTCCTTCTTTTTTAACCCGTGTGATTGAATTTTTAGTAGGGAAAATGTGAACTTATTTACATAGCGCTTCGGCAAAGTTACGCCCGACCTCTTTTCCTATTCATTAAAATTCGTAAATTTCCTTTGGGGGTTATACACGTTCCTATATTATATGTTACCCAAAAAAAGAAGCATTAATTTTTGTTACACTATTACATTACATACTCATATTGGTATATTTCTAGAATGGGTAGTAAAGGAGCATTCAAAATGAAGCCAAATTACCTGGATTATCACCTAACCTGGAAAAAACTAATATGGATCAAACGATTTCAACTAGGACTGTTATACAGGAAAATGCACTGGTTTATGAATAAAAACTCACAGCTCAGAAATATGTAAGCACTTTGGTTCATACCTAATTACATCTTACATCAAGACCTCAATATGCTTACTGTAAAAGAAGTAAAAATCTATTACGCCGGACAACTATTAAAAGATTAAAGCGAAAGGACCACAGAATAACAGTTAGCAGAGGCGGCGCTACTGGGGGGTGCAAGGGGTGCACTGCACCCGGGCGCCGCCTAAAAGGTGGATCCGGCGCCTTTTTAATGTTTTCTCCAACAATACCTTATCTTTCTTTTGCAGTATTTAGACCTGTCAGCAGTAGCTAGTCTTTAGAAAGCAGTATTTAGTCTCCACAAAGCAATTTTAGTCTTTAGAAAGCAGTATTTAGTATTCCAGACGCTGTATTTAGACCTGTCGGCAGTATCTAGTCTTCAGAAAGCAGTATTTAGTCTTCTAGAAGCAGTATCTAGTCTTCTGCCAAAGTTATGTATGTTTTCTCCAAAATATTTTATCTTTCTTTTGCAGTATTTAGACCTGTTAGCAGTATCTAGTCTTCAGAAAGCAGTATTTAGTCTTCTAGAAGCAGTATCTAGTCTTCTGCCAAAGTTATGTATGTTTTCTCCAAAATATTTTATCTTTCTTTTGCAGTATTTAGACCTGTTAGCAGTATCTAGTCTTCAGAAAGCAGTATTTAGTCTTCTAGAAGCAGTATCTAGTCTTCTGCCAAAGTTATGTATGTTTTCTCCAAAATATTTTATCTTTCTTTTGCAGTATTTAGACCTGTTAGCAGTATCTAGTCTTCAGAAAGCAGTATTTAGTCTTCTAGAAGCAGTATCTAGTCTTCTGCCAAAGTTATGTATGTTTTCTCCAAAATATTTTATCTTTCTTTTGCAGTATTTAGACCTGTTAGCAGTATCTAGTCTTCAGAAAGCAGTATTTAGTCTTCTAGAAGCAGTATCTAGTCTTCTGCCAAAGTTATGTATGTTTTCTCCAAAATATTTTATCTTTCTTTTGCAGTATTTAGACCTGTTAGCAGTATCTAGTCTTCAGAAAGCAGTATTTAGTCTTCTAGAAGCAGTATCTAGTCTTCTGCCAAAGTTATGTATGTTTTCTCCAAAATATTTTATCTTTCTTTTGCAGTATTTAGACCTGTTAGTAGTATCTAGTCTTCAGAAAGTAGTATTTAGTCTCCACAAAGCAATTTTAGTCTTTACAAGGCAGTATTTAGTGTTCCAGACGCTGTATTTAGTCTTCTAGAAGCAGTATCTAGTCTTCTGCCAAAGTTATGTATGTTTTCTCCAACAATATCTAGTCTTCAGAAAGCAGTATTTAGTCTCCACAAAGCAATTTTAGTCTTTAGAAAGCAGTATTTAGTGTTCCAGACGCTGTATTTATTCTAGAAGCAGTATCTAGTCTTCTGCCAAAGTTATGTATGTTTTCTCCAGCAGTATCTAGTCTTCAGAAAGCAGTATTTAATCTTCCAGAGCAGTATCTAGTCTTCAAAAAGCAGTATTTAGTTTTTTAGGACCAGTATCTAGTCTTCTGCCAACGTTATGTATGTTTTGTTCTTGATACTGACAGCTACTTCTTTCTGGGGGGATAGACCATCATCTTTTTGGGAGCCTCTTGTTATCTATACGGATCTTGTACCACCCAGTACCTTATTTCTGCAGCTGTTACTTTGCTTTTGTGCTTATCCTGCATTGGCAAAATTTCCGTATTGGTGATTTCCTGTCCTGTGCAATAACAAGACAAGACCATTGGTTTCTTGTTCATATTCTTAAGTATTGCCATGAAAAATCATGTTTGGTTTATAATCAATTTTTTGTTTTCTCTGAACAGTAATTTCAGACTTCATGTGAACTTTGAACAATGTAATTCCTGTTTTTTGCTGAAGTCTAGTTTATAACTATTACAACACTGGTGCTTCATTTGCTAGCGCCGGCACTGACAGTTAGATTGCAGTAATAAAAGGAAAATAAAAAGAAAACTATTACATTCTACATTTTCGATTACCCCTGATCTAAATTCCAACGAATCTTCTATTTTCTATATATAGAAATTACACAACACTGTGAGCTGAAACAAATTTCTCGCAACAAATTTGACCTCGTGCATTTTGTAACATTGTTCCAAAACGTATCTAATTTATTCAATTCCATCATCATCAAAAAAATAAACAAGCAAAATAGGTAGAGCCGTTTAATTTCCCTAATGGACTACGCGACCGTATTCGTGACAATACCATCCTTTTTCCGAATCGGTTGACTCTACGACAATGTGTTCACCATAAGAAGAGAACAATAGTTGAGGTTCAGCGCGCGTCCTTAATTTTCTAGAGGTCAAACTCTACTACATTTCGAACGTATCGATTTGGGAGGAGTCCCATTTTATGAGTTTCAAACCTTTTGTTATCAAATTTCATCAAATATCCTTTCTAAAGTTTTCCTTCGAATCTTGTGCGTTGTTAAAATTTTAAAACGTTTTAAATAGACGTTTTAAATGCAAGACACTCGGTGTTCTAAAAAAAGGGGGGAGATAAAAACGTTTTTATGAAGTGGGTATTAAGAGATTTAAAAGTTGTATCCTAAACTGAACACGTGCAAGATTTCCAAAATTAAAAAAAGAATGTAATTACGAAAAGTAATTCAACGCTATGGGTTGAAATTTAGCGTTGTGCAGAATTTTGTTTGTTAAATAAACATTTCAACGAATCTATTAAAAGATTTTCGCGAAAAACTTGTTTACGTTTTAAAATTGGAAATTGCGAAATGTTTATGTGTTTTTTTTTTGAACTTTTAATGTGCCTTTGTACTAAAAAGGGGTTTAAAAAAACGATTCGGTGCCATCTGGAAATGTTTGCAAAGCTTTTCATAAATTAACAATAAGCTCTTTTTGAATAACGAGCCATGTAATGACACGGGGTCATTATTTTCTTTTTTGTGTTTCTATGTGAACACTCAACACAGTGCTTTTCTTTTTTTCCCTTTTATAATATTAAAATAAAATCTTACTATTTAGTGATTTTAAGTTACAATCAAAAATTTTATATATTTAGGACTAAATTTTACTAAATTAGAGCTTTTGAGCTTTAAGGTCATGTTTTCAAATTTGAAAATTGAGAATATTTTTGAGAAAACTGGAAAAATGTGACTTTTAAAGTGTTATACAGATATTGTTTATACAAACAAAGAAATTAAGATATTAAGATGATATATATAATATATATTCAAATTAGAAATCTATCAGAACATTTTTGAGAAATCTTTAAAAGTGTGATTTTGCATCTGATATGTTAAGCTTCCAGCTAATTGCAGTTTGAGTCGTTTATTGCCTGTATGGCTTTGATGATGGTGACCATTTATGATCTCCATAAATATTTGGTGATGAATATATTATGTAGCTAATCAAAATACTGTTGTTAAATTAACTATTAAGAAAACTAAAATGAAAGAAATCTTTTGAATTTGAAATATTCCATTAAATTCCACTATTGTACTATAAAAATAGCACACACATACAAAGACGAAGAAGGAGGAAGTAAAACGGCACTTCAGAATATAATCTAGCGTTGAGTTCTCGAACTCGCTCCAAAACGGGAAAATCGCGAACTGTGAGGAAAGGCCAGAAGGACTATGGAGACTATGTACTGGTATATAGCAGGGTTGATAAGAAAAAGCGAGCAGCCGCTGGAGTGGGCAATCTTATCTAAACTAAATACGAAAGAATTCTGGAAATAAAACTAAGGAGAGAACCACAAAACATTTATATTATAGCCCTATACAGCCCAGAAGGCTGTAAACCCAAAGAAGGGAGAAAAGAATAGACCTAATAACACCAGATGAAGTAGTAATGTAATACTGGAAATCAAGCAGAGGTATCACGAAGACCACATCAATGATAACGGCGAATTACTATGGTCACTCAATAACCTTAGGATTAATAATACGTTTTATAACCACAAAGACACATACAAGTACACTTTCGAATATAGCAGAGAGCAGAAATCAATGATGAGCCGTCCCAAATAATACATGTCAGAACTCTAACCTCGGCTAATATCGGAAATGATGATAAGCTTACTTACTGAACGAGAAAAAGATCAACACTAAAGCTCTCTGGAATGAGTCCACAAAATTTCTATACCAACAAAGGCTAACCGAGAAAATCTGCACGAACCAATAGGATGGAAAAACGACATAGAAGACTGCTGAGACACTAGGAACCAGAAAAATAAAACTAAACCATACACCAAATAAAACTCCGTGGTTTAGAATAGAAATTAAAGTGAAATGTGAAGTGCAACTAGAATATAAAACTCTTAAGACGCAAGAATCACTTTGAGAAGAATCACATCAGATTTTTACAGTCTACAGAAGCAAATGTGGAGACTGGTGAAACAACAGAGAAAAAAGATAAACGAACTGGTAGAAACGAATAAAATAGAGAAAAACACTTGGGTAAAAGTATCTAACAGAAGTGTTTAAAGCCAATAACATACAGGAAGACAAAGAAAGTTAAGAGAAAATGTCAGAGAAAGGCTAAGAAAACCGAAAATCACCAGGTCAAGACAAGATCCCAAATGAGATCTACTAAAATATGGAGGAGACAGTTTATCATGGAAATAACATCGTTGATAAACAAAATTTTAAGTGAGCAAAAAATACCAAACGTAGACAACAAGCACTCTTACTTAGTACCACACTCAAACTAGTAACCAAGATTATTACAACCAAAATTAATTCCATTACAACACTGGCCGAAGAACAACAATGCTTTAGGTTAGGAAGGTCCTGTACAGATGCTGTATTCGTGATGATACAAGTCGTAAAAAAGTCAACAGAATATAATAAACTCCCATTACTATGTTTCATTGATTTACACAAGGCCTTTGATAAGATCAGATTAAAGGATGTCATAAATCTGCTATACAACAGCAGAATACCGACAAATATAGTTAAAACCATCTATTCGGAAAACAGGATACAAGCACTGATAAAGGGTAAACTCACTAAGGAAATATTTGTAAATGCTGGCATTCGACGAGGGTATTCATTGAGTCCACTACCATTCAATCTTGTAATGGATGAAATCATAAAAAAATGTCTACAAAAAGGCTACAAAATGAGTGATCAATGACGAAAATAGATAACGAAACAATTCAACATCTCCATTGCTGCTCAAAAAACTAAATGCATCAGAACAACGAAAAAGCTAATTCGGTGATTCTCAGGCTGAATATTAAGAAGAAAGAATTGAAAAAAGCAAGAAAACCAAGAAAAACCCAAAACCCTAAAACAAAAAATAAGGAAGAAACAAAAAAAAAACCAAAAAAAAAAAGATGATTCTCAACCTATACACGACAACTTGGGGATTTATTCCCCATGACAAATAATGACTAATGCTAGATATCTGATATATGCGGCGACATCTAGATAAGTAGTGTTTTGTACCAAAATTGCGAAACTGTTGGAATAAACCGTCCAAAAAAAGGACATCACAACAAATAATATAGTTTTTTGAAACATATGAAGAATACCCGTGTTACTGGAATCATAAAATTCCAGAACATAAGGACCGAACTGCAAGAAATGAAGCATTAACCCTGGAATTCGTTTCGTCGAATCAACGACACATATTTATAACTTGTTGGAAAGAATTCTTGTTCTGGCTTGTTTTGTGCTCATTTTTCATATAGGTCTAGTCGTGGTTAAGTCATTGGTCTGTGCGGAAGTGCAGCTAATACGCATCTGGTATGATTTTTTTAATTGTGAGTCATCGAAATGACGTATTATAATGTAACTAGTTTTAACCAATTTTGACGGAAACTCGGCAGAGGCAAAAATACGAAGTATACGCAATGCGTATAGAAGTGAATATCATAAGGTTTTAAATTCGTGCAGAAGTGGAGCATCAGCTGACGATGTGTATAATTATGACATAATAATGTGTATAATTATGTATGTTCATGACAGTTGTCTAATTAAAGTACTTGATACACCTAGGTAATTTCTACGTGACGAACACAGCAGCTATGTTTTATGTTTTTGTTAATAACATGTGGAGTTCCAAAGAACACATTTGCATTATCATATTGATGCCAGCACGAAGTACATCACTTGACATCATTTTTATTACTGTACTGTACACACTTATCGCATTTATGTGGAAACAACTTCTGGCGCCAGCTAATTGTCTTCACTAAACTGGCTTCTTACTGGCGCCAGTAATCCATGCATGTGGAAACTTAGCTTTAGAATTCCGAAATCGGATATATGCTGCTACCGAGCCAATTCGTCGACACCCTGATTTAGATCGAGCTATAGTGGAAGATCATGGATTCGGCGAACCTAATTGTGTATAGAAACTACGGGAAATAACTTCGAACACTTGCTGTGACGTTATTTTAAAGCGTTCTACGTATTCTTGATTTTAAAATAAATATCTAGGAAACTAAAAAACTTTTGCTTTTACTTTTTTCACATATTAGTCATTATTTGTCATGAGGAATAAATCCCCAAGTTAAGTCAACCTATACGGTTGAGACTAGACATGACACGTTTAAAACAAAACGAATATTGGTAACAGCAGAAATGAAAGATACTTCGCAGAATCACCGGTAAAACTCTATACTATACGATAGAGAAAGAAGCGAAGTCATAAGAATATTATATGGAGTATCAACAATTGGACACATACATGGAAGAAAGAATGGGACAATATAAATTAGTGAAAAGTACCAGGGATAAATCGCAGTTAGGTAAACAAAGTCTAGGACGACCTTCGACTATTGACGAAGAACAAGCTTTAAGTCTGAGTGGAGAAAGAAGAAGAACAATTTAAGAAGATTTTTAACTGAAATTTGTGATAATTTACTAAAAATTATTGGAAATTATTGAAAATTAATTTTAAGTTGGTAACAATGAAATCGTCCATTTTACTTATATTTGACGTTTCTTAGGTTATGATTTTCACTTCAACAGTTTTACTTTCAATTTTATTATTGTGCGGTTTTATTTTGTGCAAGCAACGACAAATTAATATGTAACGATTTTCTTATTACATTTACACAAAGGTTTCATTAAAACCAACCTTCCCCAATTTAATTACGAATATTAATCAAATCTTTCCACTAACCTCAAAAAATGTTTTTTAATTTTGCATTTCTGATAGTTTAATCACGTTAGGTACCTTTTTATGAAAATCTCGTTCGATTTTGACTAAAATCCAATTTTATTTAAATATATCGACTTTAACAATAAAAAATCACAACTTTTTTGCTGTCACATTGACTTAAATTTTCAATACCAACCGTCATTTTTGATATAAACTAAGCTTAAATTCTTATTATTTTTTTAAACTATTTTCAAAACGCTTTAATTCAACACAAAATCAATTATTTATTTAGATCGTAATTTCAATTCAAAAAATTTCAATTCAAATTATTAATTTTGTATCGATTTATTAATCGATTTTGAAGTTGGTAGCCCTAAAAATCATCCATTTTCTTTCTTCGACATTCAATAATTTGACGTTTTTTAGGTTATAAACTCAACCGAATTTAATTAAGTGCATTATGGTAAATATGTATTTATTTTTCGATCTAATACATACACAAGTTCCGATACATTCCGAGTGTTGTTGGGGTGGTGTTTTAATAATTTTCTCTTGACCAAAACTTCCCCCCAATTCTCCGCCTCCCGATAATAAAGCCGGTTGATCCCCTTCCGGATTCGTTTGCGACCCGGGGCAACATAACCACGACCTTCTCGGAAGATCACCCGCGTACGGTTCATCGTATGTTCGCTCTTCAAGGGTTCCATTATTAACGCCTGCCGTTGTAATCGTGTACAAATTTCCGTATTTTCCTCCGACGCAACACCTATCATGTCTGTCGGCGGCGTCGAAGTCGCAAACGCGAAAACTTAAATCGTATTCAGCCATATAATTGCTATGACCGAGTGATCTGCGATCCAACGCGACAACGCTTTGGGGTGAAACAAGCGTTGTTTCGGTAACATCTTCGTTGGGTTTTTGTTGTTGTATCAATGATTTTTCCGGCGTCGGAGTTCGCGTGCACGTTTCAACCGGATTAAATACGTAAGTTGTTCCACCCAAAAACGTTCTTTTACCACCACCGACAACGTTCAAACCACCAACGATATCGTTTAACGTTTCAACACCCGCCAGGATTTTATTTTCTTTTTAAATCAACAACAAAAATCGATCTATTTTAATTTAACACTTCCAAAATTTTAGTTTATAAATAAATAGATTCACATTTTTAAGTTTTAAAACTTTCTCGTTGCTTCTTGTAGGACGTCTCGACGCCAAATGACGACGGAAAACGGGATCGGTTCTGCGGGTCGTGTTGGATTACGTAATAGAACGACGCGTCGCGAGTAGCGATCGCAGTGTATTCTACACAGAGTGGTCACAAAAGCCTTCGGCGGTGGAGAAGGCTTCTCGCAAAGTGTGGACGTTTTGCTGCTTGCTTCGCCTTCAAGTTCCTCTTAAACTCCTCTTCTCAGTGCAACGTTGCAAAATCGATTTTTCTCGCGATGCTTTTCTTAATGATCCCCCCTTGATGAGGGCGGCGCCCCATTTATTTATTATTAATTGGACATTTTATCGTTTTTAGAGATTTTCATACTGTCTGGTAGGTAAAGGAAAGTTACTCATACGATTTCAAGTCCGATTTTATTGTAAATATAAGTGGTAAACAAGTATAGTAGCCTAATGAAACAAAAAGTTATTAAAAAAAGACATGGTAACAACATGTGTGTACATGGAACAAAATAATAGTAAATAAATATTAGTTCTTATCAGATCTTGCTACCAAGTGAGAATCAGAGACATAAAAGCACAAGGAATACTAGTGGAAAGAACGGAAGAAGCTCCAATGACACACATCTTATACTCTCAGTTTACGAATATAAATCTGAAGTGAGTTTACATTTAATAAGACAGAAATGTTTTAACGCTAAATATGGAAGAGAAAGCATGTCAGTTTTTCTAGCGAAGTTGGGGGAAATTGCTAGCCAATTAAAACAGATAGGAGAACTAATTTCCGACCAAATAAATGTTAACGACAAAAGTAATCATGTCGTTGCCAGAACCGTACAAACATTTTGTATCTGCATGGGAGTCAGTTCCATCGAACAATCGATCAATATGTGAATTAACATCGCGGTTATTGATTAAGGGGCAAAGAATAAAAACAAATGAACAAACAGAAACTGCTTTTTCGTCAGGAAGAATAGAAGAAAGGAAAATAATAAAATGCTTTCAATGCGGAAAATTTGGACATATTAAACAAAATTGTTAAAAGAAAAGAGGATAGAATATATCATTGATGTGTTAAACAATATATTGTCATCTATACTTTTCTTATACTGACTCCTAATCTTTTCTCCTAAATTGTTCCCGGTGGTCTCTCGCTGGGGAAATTTAGTGTACACTTGCTAGGGAATGAGTTCTTTGAATTTTTTCTAAAAGGGGAAATCTAGTGTACAAATTTTAGTCGGAGAGAGAGCCCTCGATCTTTCCACAATAATAAAAGAGAAGAACAACTAACTTCCAACTTGTACAGCCACAATTATTGATGTAGTTAAACACGTGTGTAATAATAGAAAAGGAAATACAAAAAAACTCAATTAAAAGGTATCCGGATGCCGGATTAAAATTAACAGAAAGAGTGGAAAAGTGACTACTACTTCTACCTTTAATTTTGACATATTTGTAATCTTCATTAAAAATCCTTTAAAATGAGTCCAAACTCGACATATTTAACTTTAATATTAATGGAAATACAATCACTTCCGGTTTAAAACGTCAACGTCAATTTTGACATATTTGTCATCTTCATTAAAATACCTTTAAAATGAGTCCAAAGATGACACACTTATCTCAAAAAACAAAAAAGTTAGAATAAAAAACATTAAAGCCGAAGTTAGCAATTTAATTTTTAAATATTAATTAACTTTAATTTTTAATTTTTTTTATTATATTTTTGTTTTTTTGACAAATATTAAGACATAAAAATTAAGAATATGTCAAAATGACATTGACATTTCAAACCGGAAGTTGCTTACATCTCGAGTAATATTGGAATTAAACAACTTTAATTTTATTGTTATATTTGTAATCTTTATAAAATACCCTTTAAAATGAGTTCAAACATGACGCACTTACCTCAAAAAACAAAAAAGTTAGAATAAAAAACATTAAACCCGAAGTTAGCTACAATGAAGATAGCAATTTAATTTTTAAATATTAATAAAAACCTTAATTTTTGATTTTTTTTTATTATATTTTTGTTTTTGTAACAAATATTAAGACATTTTATAAAAATTAAGAATATGTCAAAATGACATTGACATTTCAAACCGGAAGTTGCTTATATCTCGAATAATATTGGCATTAAACCCAATTACAAATATGTCAAAATTGACGTTGACATTTTTAACCGGAAGTTGAACATAACTTCATTAATATTGAAGATAAATATGTCGTGTTTGTACTCATTTTAAAGGATATTTAATGAAGATTACAAATATGTTAAAATTGAGGTTGACATTTTAAACCTGAAGTTAGTTATCAAAATTTAATTAATTAGTGGTTCTTTTCAATTTTAACGTGTTTTTTAGTTGTGTTTTTTGGGTCATTTCACATTGATTAAAAAAAATCGTCGATTTTTAAGCCACATGATGATTCTTGAATTTTTCCCAAGTTTCTTAATATATCTTTTGAAAAAAGATTTTTACACGAATCGTCATCATTTTGTCTCTAGTTTTAGTGATTAAATTTATGCCACAACTTACAGAAACACCTGTATAATCACAAAACGTAACGAGTGACCAAGTGTTCCATCAGTGTTCTGTGATAAAAATGAACAGGCACCAACAATTTTGTCTATTCTGAGAAATCTTATATTTTTAGAAAGATGAAAACGAAAATCCCGTTTTTTTCAACATTTATCATTTGTCGCTTAGTCAAGTGATGCACAACGCGGTCCAATTACTCAATAACTTTAATCAGAAGAAATTTAGTTAGATATGACAGATATTTGACAGATTTGACATTTTTTTGAGGTTGTCATGGTAATTTGGAATACAAACAAAAAAATTTCATAATTTTTCTTTAAATAAATAAATCAATTTTTGTATTATATCTTTTTATGATTCTATTTTCAGAGTCAACTAATGATAATGTGCTTTGAAGGCGAAGTAGTACAGTTTACCCAAAAACTAGGGCACCTTTACATGACCCAGTTCATTTTGTGTTCGTTTTACACACAAATATTTAGGTTAAACTCACAGGAAACTTTCTAATTATTACATATTCATTACACCCAATCAAAATTGATTTACAACAATAATTAATAAAAAAAATGACTTACTTTAAAGGCGTCCTCTGATAACTTTAACGATTTTTTCTCCAAACTTTTCGGAATCGGACTCATATCCCTAGCTCCGGAATCCCATTCCCAACTGTCCAATTTCCCTTGACTATTTTCGCTGGTGTTATCGGTGTGTTTGGAATGCTTTAAAGCATCGATTTCGGGTCGTAAAGCTAATCTTCTTTGTAAAAATTGTTCGTAGGATATCCTCCCTTGCGAATCGGCCCCCAATTGGAGCATTAATTCGTCTAAAGAGTCCTCAAGGCTTAATTCCCGGCATATCGATAATAAATCTTGACTAAAAATTAAAATTATTAATAAAAAAAAAATTTTAATTAAAGTTGATTTATTACCTATCTATGTATCCATCTCCGTTTGCATCGCAAGCTTGGAAAAGCCTTCGGACTCTTTCCTCATCGCAAACGGAACTAGCACTTTCGCTAGCGCAATCCGTATCGGCCATAACCTCACTTATTTTTTTTCTTTTGCGGTTATATCAAAGAAAAGTCATTGTTGCCGGTGTTTTGGGAGTTCGTTATTTTTCGTTCGTAGTTTAATTTACATACCGAAATGATTTGTTGTGGAAAAAAGGGTTTTAATTGATTTTTTTTGGGTTATTTTTGTAATGTTTATTATAATTACATTTTGTAAACAATGATTAATGTCTGTTATGAAGTTAGATTCGGATTGAAAATTTTGACGTTTTTATAATAGAGGTTATTCACGATAGATGGTGCTGCTATTATCCTTAATTATTATTATTATTAAGATTTAAGATTAATTTGAGACAAATAATTGAATAAATATAATCAATAATTTAATCTTAATTAATAATATTTTTTATAATATAATAAAGTTAATAAAATAATTTTTATTTATGATTAGGATTATTGATTATAGATGGTGCTGAATGAAATGACATTTAAAATTTGAAGGTTATTTTATTGAAACATTAAACAATTCTTAATTTTAATATGGATATTGTTAGAAAAAGACTAGAAACAGGTAATCGAAGAGTTGTATTACTTATAGAAGACAACTTACTGTTTGTAGCAGCAGATACTGCTGGTAAAAGATTACTTATGTTTGTAGAAGAATAAATACTGCTGAAAAAAGACTGGATACTGTTGGAAAAAGACTAGAAACAGGTAATGGAAGAGTTGATATTACTTATAGAAGACAACTTATTGCTTGTACGAGTAGATACTGCTGGTAAAAGACTACTAATGTTTGTAGAAGACAGCTTAATTTGACTTAGTTATTTGACAGCTTAAAAGTGGTTAATTTTCAATAAACTATAACTTCAGTGATTATGAATATAAAGAAATGATTTATGCACCACATTGAAGCTAAACATGTCTTCTTTCGATACCTATATAATATTAACAAACTTTATATAAAAGAATGTTGAGAAAAATTATAAAGTGTGATGATGCTATTTTGACAGCTTAAAAGTGGTTTAAATTTTAATTAAAATCATAATTTCATTATTTATGAATATAAAGAAATGATTCATGTACCAAAATGAAGCTGAAGATGTCTTTTTTAGAAGTCTATTTAGTATTAGAAGATTTTATATAAAAAAGTTTTGAGAAAAATTAAAAAGTATGATGTTGTTTTGACAGCTTAAAAGTGGTTAATTTTCAAAAAATCGTAACTTCTTTATTTATGAATATAAAGAAATGACTTATGTACCAAATTGAAGCTAAACATGTCTTCTTTCGATACCTATATAATATTAACAAACTTTATATAAAATAGTTTTGAGAAAAATTAAAAAATAAGATGACGTTCTTTTGACAACTTAAAATGGGTTAATTTTCAAAAAATCATAACTTCCTTATTTATGAATATAAAGAAATGATTTATGTACCAAATTGAAGCTTAAGATGTCTTCTTTCGATACCTATATGATATTAACAAACTTTATATTAAAAAGTTTCGAGAAAATTACAAGGTATGACAGTCATTTGACAGCTTAAAAGTGGTTAATTTTCAATAAACTGTAACTTCATTGATTATGAATATAAAGAAATGATTTATGCACTACATTGAAGCTAAACATGTTTTCTTTCGATACCTATATAATATTAACAAAGTTTATATAAAAAAGTTTTGAGAAAAATTAAAAAATCAGATGACGTTTTTTTGACAACTTAAAATGGGTTAATTTTCAAAAAATCATAACTTCCTTATTTATGAATATAAAGAAATGATTTATGTACCAAATTGAAGCTTAACATGTCTTCTTTCGATACCTACATGATATTAACAAACTTTATATAAAATGTTTTGAGAAAAATTAAAAAATAAGAATGGCGTTCTTTTGTCAACTTAAAATGGGTTAATTTTCAAAAAATCATAACTTCCTTATTTATGAATATAAAGAAATGATTTATGTACCAAATTGAAGCTTAAGATGTCTTCTTTCGATACCTATATGATATTAACAAACTTTATATACAAAAGTTTCGAGAAAATTACAAGGTATGACAGTCATTTGACAGCTTAAAAGTGGTTAATTTTCAATAAACTATAACTTCATTGATTATGAATATAAAGAAATGATTTATGCACCAAATTGAAGCTAAACATGTCTTTTTTCGATACCTATGTAATATTAACAAACTTTATATAAAAAAATGTTGAGAAAAATTATAAAGTTGTTTTGATAGCTTAAAAATGGTTAGTAGAGGTTATTCACGATAGATGGTGCCCTTAATTATTATTATTAAGATTAATTTGAGTGAAATATTTGAATAAATATAATTAATAATTTAATCTTAATCAATAATATTTTTTATAATATAATTAAAATAATTTTTATTTATGATTAAAATTCTTGATTATAGATGGCGCTGATTGAAACGTCATTTCAAATTTGAAGGTTATTTTATTGAAACATTAAACAATTCTTAATTTTAACATTAATACAAATATATTACAGAAAATTTAAGTTTTAGTTTTCTTTTTAGGTGATTCCTCATCTGATGATTCAGAGGAAGTTTCACTTTTTCTTTTAATACCGCGTTCATCTTCATCCTCCTCATCATTATAATTTTCATCATCTTTAACTTCATCTTCTTGTTCATTTTTAAGTAAATCTTCAAATTTTTCTTTATTTTTCTTTATTTTGCTCGCATCTGGGCTGTAGGCCCACAAAATTAGCTCCATGTGTTCTTTCGTTGGAAGCTCGTTTTTCCACATTTCTGGGTCATTTTCTTCAATGTTTTTCATTAATTTTTTCAAAGCCACGTTTCTCACAATATCCCAAGTCGGTTCATTTTCACCACTTGAAACGGTTCGAAGGTTTTTGTATTCACCTTTAACGGATTTGTAAGCTTTTAAAAACTCCTCAGATTGTTTATCTTCGATTTTGTGTTGTTTTCTTAATGGAAGTAAAGCTTGGATTGAATCCAAAGGTAAATAAGAACGGTTTTCTTTCGAACGGTTTTCTTTTTCAAAGTCTTTAAGGAAAATATCGAACGTTTTTATGGCATCTGTGATGTTTTGGTGTTTTTCTTTATCTTTGGTTACTACAAAAAAATGTTTTTATGGCAAAAAAATGTTTTGTTAGTTAACTTACGTGTTAAAACTCGTTTGGCGCGCCCGATTAAACCTTTAACAGCTAACTTTTGATAGTCAGGATCGCGACCTTCTAAAATTTTTAGTGACTCCAAAGCTTTTTCGGGATGTTTAAATCCTAATCCGGGAACTGTGTCTGGTTTATCGGACATTTTTCGATTTTTTTTTTATGCAAAGTTATAACTTGAAGATTATCTGAATAACACTGAGAAATTTCTTGCCGGTTCGGAACGTTTTTAGACGCGAAATTGTTCCCACTATGTATATGAAGTGGCAAACGATATTTTGGCCGGTGACACAGCTTTAAGAGAATGCCAAATGATTCCCCGCCGAGTTGAAATGGTGTTTGTTGAGTGTACGTGACAGAATCGTTTATTATAATGTTATTACGTCAGTTTTAGATTTCAAAATAGCATTAGAAACTATTGAATTTATAAACTTGACGAGTGAAAAACCTTGATTTTTTTTGTAAGTTTATTTTAACTTATTCTATCTTCTATATACAAAAGCTACCTAAAATATAAGTTATAAATAATATAAAAAAATAAATAATATAAAAATTCCAGTCAAAATTTAACTTAAACACATCGTTGTAATTATATTAACCCTCATCGATTTTATCATCAAACCAATGGCAAACTTTTAATCATAACTCGGTAGTTTCCAATTTTCTTGGTGGCAAAATCGGAGGTAAAGTTTGATACAAATTTTGTAAACGATCCTGAACACTACACTGCTCATGCCTACATTGAATTTCATCAGAATTATTACTCAAAACATTCTCATCTAACGAATCTTCCCTCTCAGAACCGTTACTAAAATCATCAGCATGTTTGTACCATTCATTTTCGTACGCTTTTAACCAAATCGGATTACTTCCTTCCATACTATGTTTATTTGTATTTGGTACTCTTCCACTTATTGCACTTAATCCACGACCCAAATCCGAATCCGCACTCACTAAAGGAAATTTAATTTAAATTAACCTAAAAACTACTTTACCGACGTTGCATTTTTGGTTGCATATCTCGAAATAATTTTAATTTGTATATTAAAGCGAAATTCTCGGTAATTACCATAAGCTGTTGCTGTTGCAGCTTTTAATTTGCGATGATAACTACTTCTTTGGCTAGCACAAATAGCTAAACTTAACATTAATAATAAAAATAAAAATAGGGTTGAAGCGGTTAACCAAAAGGTGGCGCTAGTCGTTTGTATTGACAGTAACGCCAAAGAATCAGCTGGTTGAGTATCCAAAACGTTGAATTCTTTAAAAAGTGAATCTAATTTTTCAGTGTTTTGATCAATTAGCTTTAAAACTTCGGCAACTTCGAGTATTGAGTGATATTTTTTGTCAACTAAATGGAGATAAAGGTCAGTTCGGGTTTTATCAATCGTTGCATCTTGATTTAAATGCAATCGAAACTCGTCTATGTTTACGATTGCCCCAGTTACATTCCCCAATGTTCTAAAAAAATTAAATTTAACTCCACATCATTTTTATTTTATCAAAATTTACTCCCTAAAAATTTCGATTTTATCCCTTAATTCCTGCGGTTGTAATCTTAATACAAATCGTACTCTTTGATCCTCTCTTAAAAGATAAATAAAAACTCTTGCCATATCTTCCAAACCACCCGTATCGTTCGCTAAAACCATAAAATCAAAATAACCCTTCATTCCTTGTTGGGGATCGAAATTGAGTTGGACTTCTCCGGTTTTTTGGTTAACTAAAAAAGGGGGTCTTTGAAGGTTTTCTAAACCTTCGGTTAAGGTCATTCGGACCTTTCCAATTAAAAAGTAAGATATTTTAGAGTTTTCGTTATCATCGATGTCGGTTGCCTAAAAAAAATTGTTTGAGAATGATTTAATTTTATCGATTGGATTTAAAAACCTGAATTTTCATGAATTTTGTGCCAAAATCAGTCGCTGTGCTAACACCACCCGTAAAAATTCTATGCAAAAATCTCGGTGGGTTGTCGTTGACGTCATCAACTCGAACGATTACTTTTAAAATCGTTGGATCGTCGTTAAAAAGTTTTTGATTTTTACCTCCATTTCTACAATCTTCAGTTGCCTTAATTTTTAGGTTGTAAATTTCTCGTTTTTCTCGATCTAATTCTTTATTAACCTGCAAAAAATTTATTTTACTACTTTGACTACTACTGTTTGTAGGAATAAAATAAATACTGCTGAAAAAGACTAGATACTGTGGGCAAAAGACTAGATAAAAGTAATCGAAGCTTTGATATTACTTGCAGAAAACAACTTACTGCTTGTAGAAGCAGATACTTCTGATAAAAGACTACTAACACTTGTAAACTCCTGAAAAAAGACTGAATATTGTTGGCAAAAGACTAGAATTGGTAATTGAAGAGTTGCTATTACTTATGGAAGACAACTTACTGCTTGTAGGAGCAGATACTGCTGGTAAAAAACTACTAATGTTTGTAGAAGTGTAAATACTGCTGAAAAAAGACTGGATACTGTTGGCAAAATACTAGAATTGGTAATTGAAGAGTTGCTATTACTTATGGAAGACAACTTACTGCTTGTAGGAGCAGATACTGCTGGTAAAAGACTACTAATGTTTGTAGAAGTGTAAATACTGTAGAAAAAAGACTGGATAATGTTGGCAAAAGACTAGAATTGGTAATCTAAGAGTTGATATTACTTACAGAAGACAACTTACTGCTTGTAGGAGCAGATGCTGCTGGTAAAAGACTACTAATGTTTATAGAAGAGTAAATACTGCTGAGAAAAGACTGGATAATGTTGGCAAAAGACTAGAATTGGTAATCAGAGAGTTGATATTAGTTATAGAAGACAATTTACTGCTTGTAGGAGCAGATACTGCTGGTTAAAGACTACTAATGTTTGTAGAAGAGTAAATACTGCTGACAAAAGACTGGAAAATGTTGGCAAAAGACTAGAATTGGTAATCAAAGAGTTGATATTACTTATAGAAGACAATTTACTGCTTGTAGGAAAAGATACTGCCAATAAAAGACTACCAATATTTGTAGAAGAGTAAATTCTGTTGAAGAAAGACTGGATAATGTTGGCAAAAGACTAGAATTGGTAATCAAAGAGTTGATATTACTTATAGAAGACAATTTACTGCTTGTAGGAAAAGATACTGCCAATAAAAGACTACCAATATTTGTAGAAGAGTAAATTCTGTTGAAGAAAGACTGGATAATGTTGGCAATAGACTAGAATTGGTAATCAAAGAGTTGATATTACTTATAGAAGACAATTTACTGCTTGTAGGAACAGATACTGTTGGTAAAAGACTACAAATATTTGTAGAAGTGTAAATTCTGCTGAAAAAGGGCTGGATAATGTTGGCGAAAGTCTAGAATTGGTAATCAAAGAGTTGATATTATTTATAGAAGACAATTTACTGCTTGTAGGAGCAGATCCTGCTGGTAAAAGACTACTAATGTTTGTAGAGGAGCAAATACTGCTGAAAAAAGTCTAGATAATGTTGGAAAAAGACTAGAAACAGGTGATCGAAGAGTTAATATTACTTAGAGAAGACAAATTACTGTTTGTAAGAGCAGATACTGCTAGTAAAAGACTGCTAATGTTTGTAGAAGAGTAAATACTGCTGAAGAAAGACTGGATACTCAAGTTCAAATTGTTTATTGGTGATCATATCATTACAATGATTTTCACAAGTCACAAGTAAAGTACAAAATACGAATTAAAAAAAAAAGTACATATAAAATACAAAGTGTCAATAATAAATCACTGAAGTCATTGGCCAGGAATTCCCGAATAGAATAAAAAGCTTTCGCTATCAGATAGTTTTTCATTTTGAGCTTAAATTGATTTGTGTTCAAAAGTTTAACGTCATCAGGTCAAACTTTATACCAAAGTAATTGGGTCCGTCCGAGTATAGTAATTATGATACGAATTAAAAGTCCTAAGCTGGGGAACATTATTTTTGATGAACATAAGACAATGAAGGATGTAGATCGAGGGAAAAGCTAAAATATTATACTCAATGAATTTACCCCTGCAGCAGGCCCGAAATGTCAAGTTGGCCATCACTCTAACGCATCTTCTCTGCGCACTGTAAATTCGGTCCATATGGGCTGAATGACCACAACACAGCAACGCGTAAGAAACGTGTCCAAAAGAGTAGCTGTAATATGTCTTCATGAGCACATCGAAAGGAACGAGCCCTCTAAGTGACCGGATAAGAAAAATGGCGGTATTAAGTTTTTTAGATAAACCATCAACGTGGGCTTTCCATGTCAGGCCGGAGTCAAGATATACCTACAGATGCCTGACAGGCTCAACGCATACCTCCAAACGTCTGAGAGAGAAATTCAGGGCTTGTGTTTTAGCATAATTCAGGCTTAACATATTGCACCGGAACCAATTAAAGATGCAATCGTGCGATTTCATCATACGCTGATGCAAAACGACAGCATCACTCAAAGAATTCATGACTAATTGTTGGCAAAAGACTAGAATTGGCAATCGAAGAATTGATATTACTTACAGAATACAACTTACTGCTTGTAGTAGCAGATACTTCTTATAAAAGACTANTATTGGCAATAGACTAGAATTGGTAATCAAAGAGTTGATATTACTTATAGAAGACAATTTACTGCTTGTAGGAACAGATACTGTTGGTAAAAGACTACTAATATTTGTAGAAGTGTAAATTCTGCTGAAAAAGGGCTAGATAATGTTGGCAAAAGACTAGAATTGGTAATCAAAGAGTTGATATTACTTATAGAAGACAATTTACTGCTTGTAGGAGCAAATACTGCTGGTAAACGACTATTAATGTTTGTAGAGGAGCAAATACTGCTGAAAAAAGACTAGATAATGTTGGCAAAAGACTAGAAACAGGTGATCAAAGAGTTAATATTACTTATAGAAGACAACTTACTGCTTGTAAGAGCAGATACTGCTGGTAAAAAACTGCTAATGTTTGTAGAAGAGTAAATACTGCTGAAGAAAGACTGGATACTCAAATTCAAATTGTCTATTGGTGATCATATCATTACAATGATTTTCACAAGTCAAAAAAAGTACAAAATACGAATTTAAAAAAAAAAGTACATATAAAATACAAAGTGTAAGGGACATCAGAAGGGCGCGACAGATCAACAGAAATCACTGAAGTCAAAGGCCAGGAATTCCCGAATAGAATAAAAAGCTTTCGCTATCAGATAGTTTTTCATTTTGAGCTTAAATTGATTTGTATTCAAAAGTTTAACGTCATCAAGTAGAACGTTATAAAACTTTATACCAAAGTAATTGGGTCCGTTCGAGTATAGTAATTATGATATGAGTTAAAAGTCCTAAGCTGGAGAATTGGAAGTGGGCTTTCCATGTCAGGCCGGAGTCAAGATATACCTCAAGATACCTGACAGGCTCAACGCATACCTCCAAACGTCTGAGGGAGAAATTTAGAGCTTGTGTTTTAGCATCATTCATGCTTAACAATTCCATCATACGCTGCTGTAAAACGACAGCATCACTCGAAGAATTCATGACTAACTGTTGGCAAAAGACTAGAATTGGCAATCGAAGAATTGATGTTACTTACAGAATACAACTTACTGCTTGTAGTAGCAGATACTTCTTATAAAAGACTACTGACGCTTGTAGAAGAGTAAATACTGCTGAAAAAAGACTGGATACTGTTGGAAGAAGANGATATTACTTACAGAATACAACTTACTGCTTGTAGTAGCAGATACTTCTTATAAAAGACTACTGACGTTTGTAGAACAGTAAATACTAGTGAAAAAAGACTGGATGCTGTTGAAAAGACTAGAAACAGGTAATTGAAGAGTTGATATTACTTATAAAAGACAATTTACTGCTTGTAGGAGCAGATACCGTAAAGCGGAGTTACTTTGGCATGTTTTGACCTATTTTAGTACGCTAAGCCATAAACCGCTGGAAAATTAAAATTTTAAAAATTGCATTGTGCCTTGTGTATCCAAACATGGTATGATTTTATTAACCCATATCGGAGAAAAGAAACTTTTTAAGGGGTGCCAAAGTAGGCCGAAATGTGGGGTTACTTTGGCAATATATAAAAATCCTGGTTATGTTGACCCTTCAACTTGTTTTGAAGAGTCCCGACTGAAATTTTAAAGCGCAAAGTTGCCGCCGTCTGACTCATGCCGTTCCTAATGGCCGCAAATGCATTTTGAAGGTCACTTGCCCCCTCAATTTTCTCTGATACTTTCTAGGCATTTTTATTTACTTTAGACCTGTAACAACACGGAACCACTGAAAAGAAACGGATAAAATAAAGAAATAATAATAATACAAAAAAATATATACAGCGTGTCCTAACTAAGGCAAATGCTCAAATTATTATAAATACAAGCTCTGCATCGTCACAGAAAAGATCTTTTTACTAGTTGTGCAAATCTCTTTGCATTTATTTCTTCTGCTGCTGTATAAATATTGTGGCGCAGTTCGGCAAGATTTTCAATCGGTTTTTAATACACTGTTTCTTTTATGCAATCCTAATAAGAAAATCAAGGGGATTTAGAACCAGAGAATAAGTAGGCCACTTAATCGAACCACGACTCCTAATCCATCTTCTCGGTATTCTGTTTGCAATCCTGTACAGGACAAGCATAATGAGCTGGGCAACCATCTTGTTGAAACCACATTTCTCTGTAGATATAGACTTCTGTTGTTCGATTTGTGACTGCTATAGTAGCATGATTCATGAGGAATAGATTATTAAATGATTGATGGGAACGATTTTTAACATTTTCAAAAATATGTCTATTACCAATTAACTAAGAGACAAGATTTTTTTTCTTATTTTTACCAGACAGGTATGGGTTGGCCTCCCACCCGGTGCCCGTTTGACGTTGAGTTTCGGGACACCTGTATATAAAGATGCGATAAACTGCCAAAGTAGGCCAAAGTGCCAAAGTAACCCCGTTTTACGGTACTTCTTATAAAAACGCTTGTAGAAGAGTAAATACTGTTGAAAAAAGACTGGATAAACTGGAAGAGTTGATATTACTTATAGAAGACAACTTACTGCTTGTATTAAAATTTTAATATTTCTTTATTTATTTTTTATTACCATTAATTGATGTTTCAAAGCATCCAATTTAAAAAGATCATCTTCGTTTCCTTGAACGATAAAATAACAAATCGGAGAAGGTGGCCCTTCATATTCTAACATGTCTCGGTCGATCGTTTCGGGAATTTTCCTAATTTCTAATCCGGGCGGTTTATTTTCAGTGAAATTAACGATAAATTCATCATTTAAAAATTGGGGTTGAAATAAATTTACGTTGCTAACGTAAACTGTTAAATCTAAATCCGAACTTAAAGCCGTTGGAGTTCCTAAATCGTAAGCTTCAATTCTTATCTAAAACAAAATTGTTAATTAATTAATTAATTAATTACCGGATTATTAGTGGTTATTTTAAAAATAATCTTACATCATAAATTTTTTGTTTCTCCCTGTTTAACGGCAATCTTAACTCTAAGATACCAGAGATCGGTTGTAAATCAAACGTTTTAAAATGTCCCGCCGGATCTGATTTTAATTTGTATCGAATCATCCCATTTGGGCCGATATCTTCATCTTTGGCTTGGATTTGAACTAAAGCGCTTCCCACAGTGGCGTTTTCCGGTACTTTTAACGTTGAATTGTGGGGTGGTGTGATAAAAACGGGGGCGTGATCGTTGTAATCTAATACGCAAATTTTTAAGACGTCCTCAACCATGTGTCTTGGCTGCCCCAAGTCTTGAGCTCGAAGAAATAGGCTGTAATTTCCATGTTTTCCACGTAGAGATTTCCTCGGAGTGATTTCGGCCGAGAATTCGTTAATTTGTTGTAACGCGAAGAGATCGTTATCATTTCCAGATGAGATATCCATGATAATCTTAAAAAAAATAAATAATAATAATAAAATTATTTTATTAATTTATTTATTATTTACTTGTCCATTTGGTGATTCAGGATCATCTGAATCTGTGGCATGAACAATGATAATTGGGTGGCCTATCTCGTGGAATTCCGTGATGCTCGTGCATGTTGTGGGTAAAGAAAATTGCGGTGGGTTATCGTTGACATCTAGAACTGTCACACTGACACAAACGTCAATGTCAATTTTGACGTTTTAATAAATTTTTACTTACTTAATGTGTTTAAAAGCGTTCCTACTTTCACCGGAATTAAAACCAAATTGGTAATTATCCCAAGCTTCGACCACTAAAAGGTAAGAATGTTTCGTTTCTCGATCGAGTTCTTTAGAAACTCGCAAAATTCCCGTTTCTGGTTCCAAAATGAAATCACCCTGAAAAATCGAAAATGTTTACTTAATAAGAGTACGTTGTGTTAATTAATTATCGTACGCGACGTCATCATTGCAAGTATGCAACCAAATACGCAAATCGCGTATTGTAATACCAATACTGTGATGTTGGTTGCATACCACCGCGTTATACATCACTTGACTAAGCGACATTTTATCGTTTTTAGAGATAAAAAATAATTTTTAATACTATAGATTTATTTTTTGCAAAATCTATCAATTTTTGACATTTGTGATACTTTGACATTAATCACAATTTAATATAATCTCGGAAAAATGTTACAATACTTCCTATAATACTTTTCTTTTTAAAATAACACTATTTTGAATTAAATTCGACATTTATACAGTTTGTTGTTGTTGTAACTGTCATTTCATATTTTGACATTTACCAATGTTTTTCAATTTTTGAACACCTTTAGGTTTTCAACCATTACCGTTCGCAACAAACTTGATAAGATGTTTATCAACACTTTAGTAAACTTTAGTTAATTTTTGTAGAATCTGTCAACATTTGAGACATTTCTGACTTTTTGACATTTATCGATATTTCTCAATTTGTGCGAATATGTATGATTTTTCAATATTACTTGTTGGCAATAACACATTTATCAACGCTTTGTCAAGTAGTATGTTAAAAAAATTTAGTACAACCTTAATTTTTGAGATAACCTTAAAAATGTCATATTTATAGCAATATACAGCGCCATCCGGTGGAGATATCGAAAATTTTTATTAAAATAATCGATTTTAAATCACATTTTAAACAAATATTATTCGAAACATTTTGCGAAAAAACAATAATTTGAAAACCGTACTGTTCAGTGGAAAATTAAAAACATGATATTTTAAGAAATGTTGTTAATAAAAAATTTTTATAACTGAATTATAAGCAAATGTTGTTGATAAAAAATGTTGATACAAGCAATAATTATAAAGATAACATTTTTTGCTATTTTTACTTTCAGTTGTCAATGTCAACTTTAATTTTGTTATTATATTTGTAATCTTCATAAAAAATCCTTTAAAATGAGTCCAAACTCGACATATTTAACTTTGATATTAATGGAGATACAATCACTTCCGGTTTGAAACGTCAACGTCAATTTTGACATATTTGTCATCTTCATTAAAATACCTTTAAAATGAGCCCAAACATGACGCACTTATCTCAAAAAACAAAAAAGTTGGAATAAAAAACATTAAATCCGAAGTTAGCAACAATAAAGATAGCAATTTAATTTTTAAATATTAATACCAACCTTAATTTTTTATTTTTTTTTATTATATTTTTGTTTTTGTGACAAATATTAAGACATTTTATAAAAATTAAGAATATGTCAAAATGACATTGACATTTCAAATGGGAAGTTGCTTATATCTCGAGTAATATTGGAATTAAACGTATCATGTTTGGACTCATTTTAAAGGATTTTTCACGACGATTACAAATATGTCAAAATTGACGTTGACATT